AGTTGTCCAGTTGCAGCTTATTTAATTTATAAAAAGTGTGTTTTTGATGCAATGGATGCAAATATACTTTTAATGTTTTCTGTGTTGGCTAAATAGAGTTGTGGGAAATGATATCCTTATAATTATGGCTTTGTTCAGACTTGTTGTCCACTCCCATTCCCCTTGGAATTAGCTACAGGCTGGCAAACTGTAGTAGCCTTTATTATATTGAATACACAACAGCTCTGTTAAAAATGTTTAACCCCAAATGAGCAATGAAGGTGAGAGATTTCTGCACTCAGCCTACTTGGCTATGTTGGTGTCTCTTCTGCCCCGGACTCCCCCTAGTATGCCAGAATGGGTCTGTGATTAAAGCTTTGTAAGTCTTAATTTTGAATTTCTTGCCTTTTATTATTTGGGGGTTCAGATTGCAAACCTCTCTTTTGTTCACTTTCCATATGCTTTCCCAACTAAACCACCTAATAGGAGGCTTATGAAATGCATGTTTTTATCTGCTGTTCTGACACAGCTTTCCTCGGTGAATCTATAGCTGAATCATTTTTAAAATCTTTGATTTCCCTCAAATTATAGATCTACTTTTGAAATCCAAGTGAACAAAGAGCAGTCTCAGCTAGCATAGTGACATAATAACAGCATTTAATGTAATTTCAGATGGAGGAGCCTCAAATCCTTGACAGAATATGGGCCAGTTTCTCCTCTCTGTTGGCTGGGCAGACAGCCTGACCACAGTTTTGCAGCACAGCTGAGCCATGAATCTGTGGCTGGTAGAGCTATTAGATCCTGCTAGCAGAGCTTCCTCCAGGGTATGCTCCTCCTCTTCCTTGACAGTGGAATTAGCCACTCCAGTTCATGCCTTGTGAAAGGAGATATCCTAGTTTGTGCCTTATGTGGCCACAGTGAAAGGAGATGTCAGAGAACACCTTAGGTGAGTGACCATTGTCACTGTCAGTCCAGGGGTAAAGATGAACCTGGTACAGACCATTGTTTTCTGCCTCAATCTTCTTCAGTTTGTCTTGGCACTTCCATCGGAAAAGGCATTGGAGCCATAGCAGGTGATTGATTTTCAGTGGGTTTGCCTGGGAAAGGTGACAACTTTTTCCATGAGGTTTTTCCTGATGGATACACTAGTTAATCTCAGAGAGCTAATTATACAAGTCTTTAAAACTCTTACTGCATGTCAATCTAAAATATATATAATAAATCCTAAAGTTTTATTCTGCTGCAGTGTTAGTAAGCACAATGCAGTACCATAATATTGTAGATTATTCCTATTAAAATTTTTAAATGTGACCTGTTTCTGATAATCAGAGTGAAACACCTGTAAAAGGGCATCTTTCTCATAAAGTGGGTGCTGATTGCTGTCGTAAAACAATTTTTCTGAAATATTGGCAACTGAAATTGCAACTAAAACCCCATATCACTGTTTCTTTTGAAAGTCTTGATTGTGGTATTTGATACTACAGTAACTGCATTGACACTGTATTTTTGATGATGCCTACCTCAATAATCCTTTCTATGGATTATCTATAATTTTGTGGGCACTGTGGCTGAAACCATAGCTCCACTAAAGCTGACGACACTTTTGACTTCTGTAGAGCTAGGATCTCAATATAAGTGGTGGTGTTCAATGGTTGGTGTTGGAACTGGTGCTGTTTAACGTCTTTGTTGGTGACAAAGACAGTGGGATTGAGAGCACTTTTAGAGAGCTTGACTATGATACCCAGCTGTGTGGTGGGTGACAGGCTGGAGGGCAGGGATGCCATCCAGAGGGAGCTGGGCAGGCTGGAGAGGTGGGTCTGTGCAAACCTCATGAAGTTCAACAAGGCCAAGTGCAAGGTCCTGCACAGGGGTCGGGGCAATCCCAAGCACAAATACAGGCTGGGGGATGAATGGATTGAGAGCAACCTTCTGGAGAAGGACTTCGGGGTATCAATGGATAGAAAACTGACTGTGAGCCAGCAATGTGCACTCACAGCCCAGAGAGCCAACCTTGTCCTGGGCTGCATCAAGAGAAGCGTGGCCAGCAGGTCGAGGGAGGGGATTCTCCCCCTCTACTCTGCTCTTGTGAGACCCCCCTGCAGTGCTGTGTCCAGCTGCGAGGCCCCCAACAGAAGAAGGAGATGGACCTGCTCGAGTGGGTCCAGAGGAGGCCATGAGGATGATCAGGAGGCTGGAGCACCTCCCTTATGGGGACAGGCTGAGAGAGTTGGGGAAGAGAAGAGAAGGCTCTGTGGAGACCTTATAGTGGCCTTCCAGTACCTGAAGGGGGCTACAGGGAAGGTGGGGAGGGACTTTTTACAAGGACGTGTAGTGATAGGACAAAGGGCAATGGTTTTTGACTGAAAGAAGGGAGATAAAGATTAGATAGAAGGAAGAAATTCTTCCCTGTGAGGGTGGTGAGACACTGGCCCAGGTTTCCCAGAGCAGCTGTGGCTGCCCCCTCCCTGGAAGGGTTCAAGGCCAGATCGGACGGGGCTTTGAGCAACCTGGTCTGGTGGAAGGTGTCCCTGCTCATGGCAGGGGGGTTGGGACTAGATGGTCTTTAAGGTCCCTTTCAACACAAACCATTCTATGATTACATTTTATGGTAAAATTTTGAGGTTGTTTTGACATTCATGTAGTGTCTTAACTTTGTGTTTGTTTTAACAGTAGCTTTACCTTTATGGCAGATGTGGATTTTACTTTGTTCTGTTAGACTAGAATATGTAGCTCATGCGTGTACATGTAGCATTGACATAAATAGCCTGCTTGGGGATTACAAGTCTTGAAGACCAAATTCAGCGAACACTTGCTTGCCTGTATACTTGATAAAGCAGCTTATGTCAAACTTGTATGCAAGCATGTGTGTTTTCAGAATTGGGATTTAGTCATCGCAAAGAAGTGGAAACAAGCTGATTTGTCTCCTGGACTGAGCCAGTGTTAAACCTGGGACTGAAGCACAGGGCTGAAGCTGTGAAGCTGTGTACTTTTTACGCTGCCTCTCTCAATCAAATTTCAAAATTCCCTGAAGTTTTAATCTTCATTAGGCTGTGTGAAAGCTGAATCTAAACATTTTAAATGATATTATATTTTTCCTGTTTGAAAATGTTCTGCGTTTGGTGTGGAGGGAGAGAGGGGAAGAGGAAGCCTAAAACCAGTAACCCAACAATTACTTTTTAAGTACAAGTAAAAATTTTGAACTCCAAAGGGAACTTCTCAGATGTGAAGAATACGTGCACAGGCCTTCCCTGGGAAGATTGCTCTGCTCTGCATTGCCTGTAGCCTCTAAACACCCTGCTGCCTTCAGAGTACGGGTCTGGTCAGAGCGTTGGTGCTGTCTAGTGGCAAGTTATTGTATCTCACATCACTGAAGGAAGAGTTAACTGAAGAAAAATGTAAAATGCTGCATTTAATTAATAGCCCTCAAAGCATGGCTTTGGGTTATGCTGGTTTTGAAGCACGTAGGTATTTTCTAACACCTCCACACAGAATTAAACAGTAGCATTTGTGAGTATAGTTAAGGCAGTGCAGTCCCTGTAGCATGGGTAATGCTACAGTGGCTCTTCTTTCCTGTTGGGTCTGGGAAGGTGAGTTACACTCTAAAACAAGACTAGAACAGTTTCTTTGCTATTCCCAGAGGTTCAGAGGTAGGGTCAGATGTGTGCTGGTTGCAGCAGAGTCCAGTGAGTAGTTTAGTGCCCCCAGTTTTTCTGACTGCTCTTTGCTGTCCACCTTGCAGAGGCTGCAGTTGCTGAGACTGGTTGGCATGCTTGTGTACCGTTTCTTTCTAACCCAGTTTGTGTCAGGTAATTATTTTTAAAATCCATTCCATTTTAACCAGGTGCCCTTTGTGTTAGGAGGGTGAACAGACATGCGGCAGAAGGGAGCAGTAACCTCATAACCTGTTTCAGCTGCAGCCAGACTGGCATGTCTGGTCACAGCCTAAGAAACCTCTTTGTTGGTTTTTGGGGTTCCCTAACTTGTGTCACCTAGGTGTATCAGTTACTATCAACCCGTCTGGGGGTTGGGTGCATGAGGCTGAGTGCACACTGGGACTGTGGCTATGCTGGTGCAGTACCTCTGCCTTTGGGCTCAGACCTGGTGAGGGGTTGCATGAGAAGGAATTCTGTTTCATCTCAGCTGGGATAGGTTACATATGTCTGCACCAAAAGTTTAAGCTGATGAGCAGAAGATCATTATATCACCATACTTCAACTGTATAACAAAGCTGTCTCCACTGGACTTTAAGCTGATATGCTAGAGGGACAGGTACCTATCCCTGCTGCTTTGGCCAACTCCACTGTGGGTCTGGTCCAGTTCAGCGGATGGGAGAGATGCATGGATGGGGACAGTAAATTTGTTAAGCTTTATGTGGAAAACTTCTTGTTTGTCTTAATCTACTGCATTTCACATGTAAAGGTGAAATGTGACTTCTGTTGCTGTGGTTAAAACTAACATAGTTTGTCTTGTGATTAGTTACTGCAGATCAGCAAGTGCATGATATCAGAAGCTGGTTTTGCTTGATTTGTGTGTCTAAGTCATCCTTACAGACAAGAGATGCCAATTAAAAAAAACTTCTTATGGGCCATAGTTAAAGTTGTGCCAGTAGACCAAAGTATATTGCTAAATTTCTTTTTCTTCTATCAAAATGGTGACACTGGAGCAAAAACAATAGAAAAAATATGGAACAGCCTCTTTTTGTATTGGTGACTGCATGGTCTTCAATAACCTCTACAAAATTTATGGAGGAGGTAATCCCAGCAGGTGTCCCTCTTCTGTGTGGAAAGACAAATCAGAACTCTTTATTTTCCTTTTCATCCACCTGGAAGGACTGCACATATAGGCATCATATTGATTTGTTTTGATAATGTGGAACTTCTGAAGCCAGGTACAGACTGCTGTTTAAGAGCCTGATCTGTTTGTGGTGAGTTTTCTTGCTTTCAGCAGTCTTTTTTTTTTTTTTCTGTAGAAAATGTACAAACATATAGAAGTTCCAATTTGTGCTCTTCTTTTGTTTGTAGATACCAGTATTACCTACAAGTGAAAAAGGATGTTCTTGATGGACAATTACTTTCCTCACTGGAGCAGGGAATTCGACTAGCTGGTTTGGCAGTGCAAGGTAAGATGACGTGACCTGACAGTCCTTTTCCAACATTGGCTTTTTTGGTTTGTTCTGTATGTTGACTGGGCACTAATTAAGGCCTTGTATGACTCCTACACACAACAGCTGGGTTTTCTATTGATTTAAAAGTGCATAGGTGGACTGTCGTTGATGAAACACACCCTCAGGGAGGGAATCATGGACCACATCACAGTGTTCAACTTTCCTATTTCTAAAATCCACGTAAGTGAATCTGAACAAAACTTCACTTCTTCCAACCCCAACCACGGAGTACTTTTCAGTAATGAATTTGCTTCACGTTCTCTGGTTTGAAATGCAATTACATCAAAGAGCATAGCAGCAGCTTTAATTTTGCCTTTAATTAAAAACTTGTTTTGCTGCATAGTGCTGTCTGAAGTATGAAAGAACACATGACCGTAATTGTTATGCGAGTTATAAATTAAATGTAAACGACTTCTTACAATGTGATTTTTATTCTGAGCCTCCTAAGGACATCGATAACAGTGGGATCATATAATGTGTATGGGCAGAGGAAGAAGCCCTGTATTTGGAGAAGGTATGTTTCAGTCTACCCACAACTGACTGTGAGAACTTAAGTTAGAGTTTCAGCAACCATGCTCTGTGCATGTCCTCCGATGGGAGGGAAGGGTGAAGTATATATATAAATAGCAAACATGAAGATCTGATCCTTGAGAATTAAAGGAGAGTAATACTAATATGATCTTTCTTAGGGCAGTAGAAATTCTGGTGTATTATCTTCTTGGTTAAAAATTGAAGAAAACAAGTTTCCTGTCAAATCTTGAAATAAAGCTAAGTACATGTGTAAGATTCCATACTGAATCTTGAAACTTAAGTAAATTAAGTTTTTCCAGTATATAAGTTAGGGCTAGGTAGATGCTGACTATGTTTTACTGGTCCTGTGTTTTTGAAGGGTTTTTTGCTAATTTTGAGAGAGTCGGTCTTTGTAATCAGCTTGAAGTAATCACTTTTATTCTGAATTTTCTACATAGTCTATTATATTTCAGACCACTGCATCAGAATCCTGCACCTAATCTTGTTTGCTTTATACCTGACCTTGTATTACTCCCTTTGTCCTTTGCATGTGATGCAAAGGAAGATATTTGAAATATTTATTTCTTTTAAACTTACAGACTCTGTTTCATGTCCATTTTGATTTCTTTCTGTTTATGTTAAAACATAACTCAGAGGTGAAAACAAAATGAAACTGCATTTTTGGCATCCTGCAATATGTGAAGTTGTCTAGAAGCTTTGAAAGAATGTTTAGATAATATGATTTATGGCGGGGATTTCCAACTTCTATAATATGAGAATCTTGTAGATGGTGTTTGATCCAGTTCAATTAATATAAAATAAAAAGCTCCTGGCAATATATTCTTTTGATATAAGCTGTTGTGTGTTTAACAGATAGATAAATATAGGCTTTGTTTTGTATTTTTTAACATAGTTTAGCCTTTAGGAAGCATTTTCAAAACTCCACGAGGACATTTAGACAAGAATCCTCAACCTGACATGAGTGAATGGGAGCATGGAGATGAGTACCTCTTAGAGATTTGCAAGAAGTAGAAAATCAAGTAGAAAGGTGTGGGCCAGTCAAACTGATACAGTGCCTGTACTATTGGCTGCAGAAGGGTAAGACACCCACATACACACACCCCCCCAAACCATGTTCATGGTTGACAATTTTTAATAGAATAGACTAGTGGGTTTTAACCTCCTAGGCTGTAAAAGTAATCATTGTTTGTACACTTGTGTAGAACAGTAGCAGAGGTAGGTTAATTTTTTTTTCCTTGGTCAGGGTTGTAAACATTGGAGAAGCAAAAGTGTGCACCATTTTTAAAGAGGCTGAGCAGTGTCAGCCTTGTTAGGTGGTGGTATTAGTTCATGAAAGCTACAGAAAAAGAAACTCTTCCACTCCTGATGGTTAAGCATTGCAAATGGTCATAATATTAGGGATCAAAAGAGAGAAATTACTTGTTGGCTGTTATTTGATCTTTGGTAATAACACTATTATTTTCAGACCTCCATGTTAAAAGCTAAAGTACAAGTAGAAATCTTTGTGCTGGTTTGTGGCTTCAGAGAGGACTCGCCCACTTGAAATCAAGCATCTGTGCAAAGGTTGAGTGTGGTCTTAACATCTGTGGAAAGTGCTAAAATGAGTAATTGTGTTGTTTTTTCCAGCCGATTTTGGAGACTATAATCAGTTTGAATCTCATGACTTCCTCCGGGAATATGTCTTGTTTCCTATGGTGAGTTCCTTATCCCCCTTTTTTGTGGTCTTTTATGAATAATTTCTCCATGCCTCAGAGATGGCTTTGTTGATAACAGAGTAAAAGTACCAGCGCTGAACTCTTAATAGTGGAAATAAACTTTGCTCCCCAAAGCCTGCAATATACTTGATTGTATCTGAAATAATATATGCTATGGAAATTTAGCCCTTTTTCAGTTTCTGTTAAGCCTCCACTAGAAATAGGTATCAGCAAAAGAAGTGTGCTTCTTTGAATCAAGGAAAGAATTTGCAGCTATTTAAAAAGGTGTATGTTAGCAGTACTGCAGTATTAGTAACATGGAATAACAAAGGAATATGAGGGCTGCTGATGTAGTAAATGTTGTGTTACAGGACGAATCATGTAGCCTTTCCTCAAGAGAATGTGAATTTACATCAGGTGACTATCAGACTCAAGTGAAGTGTGAATCAGGTCTTCTCAAAATGTTCTCCAGAGACTATGCTGTAAATTTGTTTTAAATTTACACTGGAAACTAATAAATAACGTGAATGCTGAGGGAAGTGTTTTAGGTCACTAATGATGTTAGAAACTCTGGTGACAAATGCCAAGCACTTGCAATCCCTGACACTGAGCCTCTCTGGGAGGACAAATTAGAGAGGAGGAAAAAAAACAAAACAAAACAAAAACCAACCAAACAACAACAACAAAAAAAAGCCTGTTGAGGTTAAAGCTAGATTTATTTTAGATGAACAAGTCCACCAGCACGAGTCTTAGTAAGTGTAAGCTTCATAAAATGTAAAAGATCATGGAATTCTATCTAACTGGAAACAAAATTTAGAAGTGGGGTGGTGTTCCCATGCCCGGAGTGTAGCTGCCTAGAAGTTAAGGCATCTGGTTTCCCTCTGCAATTAGTGGAGCGGTAGAGGGAGAGTGATTCATCTCAGTGTAATTTGAAGGCTTGAGAAAGGCACTTCCAGAAGCATTTAATCCCATTTACCAGTACAGGAACTGCAATGGATAGTCCCTTCTGAAGTCCAAAAAGGTGGCAGCTGCACAGTGTCTTGAAGTGAAAGTGCGATTTTGAGCTGGTAGACAGACTTCAATACCACCTGAAAAACGGAGTCATCAGGAAGAAGGGGAATTAATGAATGTATAGAGATGTGAACATGCCTTGTATAACTAGAATGTGGCTTCAGTATTGAACTTTCACTAAGAAACTTCTGTTAGCCTAACTAGTGGAGCAGGATTTCTTTGGTAGGCCACCTTTATCTGTTGATAAGTAATTAATGATCTTGTGTATAGTTGATGGCTTATGAAGTTGTGTATGATAGGCTAAGTGCAAAAGAAGATGTCTGTAAGTATAGGCAGGAATGTGCTGTCAAGCTGTCACTTGGTAAATTACTGAACTTCTGCAAAGTTCTTTCAATTTACTGATACCATTTTTCTATTCAGAAAAAAAAACAGGGGAGGGTTTAGGCCTCTAGATGAGCTTTCAGGTAGTTAATTTCGATGTGGTTCAGCAGTTTACTCTTTGGGCCCGTCTCCTAGAATGAGAGCCTCCCATTTTTCAGTCAGCTGCCTACATGGTGGTGTGGTCAGCGCTCTTGTGTTCAGCATGTGCTCACTTTGTGGTATCTTGCCTTTCATCCATGCCACTATTGCTAAATTTAACAAGTTCAGCAAAGTGTCTGCTTCCTACAGTCTTCAGAAACCTACTCTGAACTCAACTGTTTCTCTACACATTTCTTTACTTGTCTTTGCTCTTCTGGGGAGGAGTGGATAACGTAATAGTAAATATTTTACTGGAAGTTCAGTGACAGTTGCTAAATGCTGCAGATATAAATTAGTCCTGAAGCAACTGTGAGGATTTGAGTGAATCTCAGGCATAGAAAGAGCCTCCAACAAGAACTTTGCTATAAATTCATTAGTGAAGAGAGCTAGTGGATGAGGGAGGGGCAGCTACATTTGTACTGTTTGATCTTGTGAGGCTACAATGTGTGTCAAATGGCATTTCTTCAGCAGTGAAAAGAACAAAGTTATGTACACAGTACACCCCACAGGTGTGTAGCTGTGCATAGGCATGTACCATGCCATTTTTCATTAGCATGCTACCACTTTCACATTTTTTTGTGGCAGAAGCAAATATCAGAGGGAGGGCCTCATTGAGCAAGAAACAGGCAGTGTATTTAAGTACATTACATGCAGCCTCAAGGCTTTTTTAAATAAAGTAAGAACTTTGAGGTTTTGCAAGAAAGTTTTTCAGCTTCCTTTTTTTTTTTTTTCTTGAATTTTTGAGCAGCCTTCCTTTATTAACTTGCTCCCAATTATTTCAGAATTGTTTCTGCCACACATTATTAAATTTGCAGAAGATAAAAAATTTCTGCTCAGAAATGTGTTGCAAGCATAAAATACAGTTTATTACATATTTGAAGACATAGAAAAACTTTCAATCCCTTTTAACATGAGGAAGGGAGTACCTGTAGATTGCAGGACAGAAAATACCTGTGACTTCATTTTCCATGGTCTATGCATTATTTTGGTCAGTTTTAAAAGGTATATATTAATCTGTAGACGTCCAAGTGTTTTTAAAGAGTTGTTTGGTCCTTATCCAGGAACAGATGCCTTATCCATCCTCTATACTCTGTTCTTTATTTTGGAATAATAAGCATTTTACTGCTATTTTTAGCAGTATCTTTTCATCCTACCCCAAAAATGTATTAAAAAAAAAAAAATCAGACACTTGTGTTCTCCTTGGGCATTTTCAGCATCCCATGGTCTGAATCTTCAGTGCTGTTGGTGATAGATTCTCTCTCTAACTACCTGGAAGAGCATGAACAGGAAACAATCTCAAAACTGCTGCTGTAATTCCTGTCTTGGATTTTACCCTCTCTTTCTTTGTATGACTAGTTTTTCATGCTACTTCATATTTTTACAGGATTGGACCCAGGATGAAGCTGTTTTGGAGGAGCTGACTCAAAAGGTTGCTCAGGAGCACAGAACTCACAGGTGAGTTTGACGTGTTAGGGTTCGGATTATTCTTTTTTTTTTTTTTTTTTTTTTTTTTTGACATCATTCTCCCAGTACTTCCCTTTTCTCCCATTCTTTTATGGCAAAGGTAAACTAGCCTATCTTCATGTTACTATTATGCTACATCTTACTGGATTTTTAATTAGTCTTTTATAAAAGATTATCTGCCTCTTGTGAACACAAAATGGCAAGGAACTTAATCCCAAATAAATGAGCATTTGCACCATAAGGTTTAATAAGCATGTGTAACAGTACTTACAGTGTGTAATAGACTCCTTTTTCTTCGTAGTTTCATTTAAATCCTGAGGGTGAAAGACCCTGTGACTTGGTCAAAGGTGGCCTGAGGGTTTTCTCTCATGCAAGAGAAAGGGGGATACACATGCTTCCAATGTAGTGGAAATTAAAATAACTGGAGTTGGGTTTTAAGTCTTGTTGTGGAAAAATTACAATATGGTGTTACTAGTTAACGAGCTAGGAGTGTATGTATTAGTGCTTCAGTACAAATACCTTCCTTGTAAGCAGGCTTCTTTCATGTCATCTAGGTGTTTTGCTGGTGGATGTATTCCAACCTCTAGAGTGCTGTTCTCAGAAAAATGGCAGTACCTGTATGTCATTGGAAATAATCTTTTTTTGTTATATTATGATTTTGCATTTAAAGCTTTATTACATGAAATGCAATAGCAATACTATGTGAAGGGTACAGCACTCCCCATTATATGACAGAAAATGGTTGTAAAGTGGAGCATACCAATCTTGGTGTCTAAGGCCATTCTCAGTCTGTGTTTAAATGCAAGCTTGGGCCTTTGATGCAACCAAAGGGTTATCTTCCAAGCTGGCCACGAACAGGCCTGGTTCTGTTCTTCTCTCTCTGCCATGGGCTGCTTGTGTGATCTTGGTTAACTCAGACTTGAAAGGAAAGATTTCCCTCCCCTGCTGTGCTCTTTAGTGCTATTTCTGCAACACAAAGAACAAGCACTTATCCTCACTTCAGCAGGTAGATCACAGTCTACCTCCTTTCTCTCCCTTTTTTTTCCCATTTGTCTGGTTCCTATATTTCTGTTTGTAAGCTGTGTGAAGGAGGAGCAAAGAGGAGAAATACTAATAGTGGCCTTCATTTGGAGCAACCTGCAATCTATTCTGACCTGCTTTTGAGAACTGAAATCTGTCTGAATTCCTGAGCTGTGTGACAGGAGCATGTGTAGACACGTGTATAAAAGCTTGCAGCTGGTTTGTTCTCTGTTATGAAAGAGTATCTGTTCAACATTTGGATTTAGTGCCTGTGTTTTTGAACAGGCAACTTGAAAATGTAGGTCTTCCCTTTTAAGAAATTTTAAGAAACTTCAGTGGATTTGTATGCTATTTATGCAAATTAGGACCCATATGGCTCAAATTCGCCATCCAACAGTAGACACAACCTGATGCAATGCCCTGATGTTTTAATAAAGCCTGGAAAACATTTGATGTGTGAAGAAGAAAGTGAGTAATATGATCAGTTCAGTTTGTTCCTCCTCTAATTTGAATTCTGCTTTGTACCTTCAACATTTAGTAATATTCCTCCCACTGCTGATTATGATCCTAATGTTGGAACTTAGTTTTACGTTGTGCATTTCTAGGCAGCATCTCCAAAGGGTCTTCTAAAGTGGTTTGTGAATCCCCCATTTCTTCACTAGTATTTTTTGTGTGCATATAATGTTGAACCATTTGCTGTCTTTTGTTACTCTAATTGCAGTGGCATTACAGCAGCAGAGGCTGAGCTAATGTACATCAGTGAAGTGGAACGCCTTGATGGGTTTGGACAGGAAACTTTCCCTGTGAAGGTATGTCAGTGTATATTATAAAGGAACCTCTGAATCAAACGATGCAGCGACCTTTGGAACACATGCAAGTCATGTTTGTCTAAAAGAGACAAGGCTGGTTTCCCTGTTCTGTAGGGTGAAATGACTGCTGGTGGTTTGAATGGGCATTGCAACATGAGGGTATCTTCAGCCTGTAGTGTTACTTCTCTTCCACCAAAATCCTGTTCACAGAAGAGGTTGTTATGTGCTAGGGCCTGCTCATTTGGGAAGCAGAGATGCTCCTTGCTCTTCCTTGAGTGCTGCCTGAGGGAGAGTGGCTGGGGCAAATGAACCTCAGCTCTGGTTGTCTTTAACAGGATAGGAAGATAAAAGCTTTTCATGTATGTCTAAGCTGCTGTTTACCAAGCATAACTTTACCTTTCCATAGCTTTACATATGCACACAGGTCCGCCACATGTTTAAAATTGAAGGGGGGGGGGTTTCAAGGTTTATTTTACATTTGTAGTCACTTTACCTTTGGAAGCTCCTTTCTGCCATGGATGCCTGGCCTTATGGAACATATTGCCACCATGATAAAGTTGTGCTGAGAATCAGGAAACTGCTTTTACCAGCATGACCTATTTCTCTTTGCTAACCAACACAGTCACTGTAGGTGGTGGACTGCTAGCAATTTTTCTGTTAGTTAAAGATTACTTTGAATTTAAAACCAAACCAAAATGAAGAAACAAAACCCAACACCAATAAAAAGACCTTTCTGCTGGAGTGAAAATTGATCCTTTGGCCAATCTCAAAATTGACCTGAAGAGAAGGAGCTGAATGGCAAAGACTTCTACACAACAACAAAAATTATGGAATGATTATTGCCAATGAATTAAATCAATGTTTTCCTCGGATTAATTCAGATTAATGTTGCATGCTGCTGTGAAGGATTTCTGTGTTGAAATTGTCATTAGATATTATCATGTGTCGTTAAGATATATATGAACAGTGGACTGGGTGCTCTACAAAACTGCAGGAAGTTGTTATCCTTGTATCAAAGAGCAGTGTGTTGGCCTTGTAGACAAATCAAACTGCATTCAAAGAGAAAAATTAAAGATTTCTTTTGTTCCGGTTAGAAAATGCTGTTCAAAATATGTTTCTCTTTCTTTTTATATAGACATTTATGCATATACACATGCACATATGTATATTTGTATGTGTACAAATACATACATTTTCCCAATCTCTTTGCCTTCTAAAACTGCTTCTGGGATGAGGCAGAGGAATGTGTAGTCCTCTAATCACACCAAACTGAAGAATTTCAGCCACAGGACCTCTGCTGACTTGTATATGTGGAAGAATGCTGGCCTATGCGGCACCGAGAATCGGTGCATAGGCTGGGGCTTGAAAATTGGCATCCATCATTTGTTTGCAAAAGGCCTAACACTTAGTAGTTAGAAACAGGTGCAGATACTGTATTGTTGCCTTCCTGAGATCAAGTACAGCAAGGCCATGAGAACAGCTCTAATCTGATCTATTAAAACGCAGGGGTGCCTGATGATTTCTAGAATTTGCTCATGCGCAGTGCATTAACTTCTCTCATATCCTTTCCTCTAGCAATTCTTTTTAACCGCAGTCTTTTTGTTAGCGTGATTTTTATTTACCACTTTAAAGTGTGAATCAATGACTATATACGCAGTTGAGGGGGAGTTGTTTTTGTTGGTAAATATAGGAAAACCTCTTTGTCAATAGCATTAAGCTTTGGTAGGAAAAAAATTTAAAAAAAGGGGGGGACATTTTTAAGAAAACAACTGATGGCAAAATAGAACAGAGAACATGGTTTTCAAACAGGAACCTGCATGGAGACATGGGTAGGCACAAAAGCAATAGAATTTCTGATAAACAGTGCAAAAATAGTGGACATTGTGGTGCATGCAGATTAATAACCCAGTAATTGAAAAACACTGGAGGATGCATCTATATAGGGTACAAGTCCTTTTTAGGGTGACATGCTGTGAAACCTCTACATGGAGTACTGGAAGGAGGAAGCATGAAGGGTATAGCGTTTGAGAGGGATTCCATCTCCAGGTGTGGTTTTCTGAAATCTCTACATGTTTTAACAGATGACTGGAGAAGTACTGTGAATGTGAAAGAGGACTATTGCTTTTGGTAGTCCTACAGGCTCTAGATAGCTATGATCACAATGATAAGGGATGTGGGGTATTATACAGTGAATGGCGGTTTGTGGTGTGCGTGTTTGATAGAGGAGAACCTTGGGCTCGTTTACCCTTTGTCTGTTCTCACTAATCAACAGAATGAATCCAGCTGTGTGCTAACTGCTTTGAAATAATGAAAATCAGAGTCCAATCAAGCAGCAAAATATAGGTTAGTCAAGGATTAGTCCTACATTCATTTTGAAGAAGGGCTTCTGTTTGGTAGTTCAGCATGAATTTGTATGCATGTATTGGCCAGTTTCTTTATTAAACTAAATATATTTTTTCTCTGCAGGATAATCATGGAAATGACATACATCTTGGAATTTTCTTCATGGGCATCTTCATAAAAAACAGAATTGGAAGGACAACTGTGATTTATAGGTAAAAACTAGGGTCTTCTGTATTTAAAGTGAGTTTCTTGTCAGAGCTCCACATGTGGGGTTTTTTCCCTTACATATGTGACTTCAATAGTGCCAATCCTCTAACTAAGGAGTAGTCACCTCGCTGTTTTCAGGATTGGCCTCTTGGCCATAAGAGATGTGATAAAGAATAATTTCTGATGTCTGTGAATAGGTTTGGTGGCAAGAAAGAAATAGTTGTCTGTCATGTATTTTTTCTGCTTACAAGGCTTTGATCCCTTTTCTTTTCTTGCCTTTGTCTGCTGCTTTGATGCTTCTGAATGCAAATCTGTTAAACCTCACGGTTGGCAGCCTAGGCGCTCAACACTTCTGAAAATCTGGTTGTCATATTTAGATAGCCCCACTAAAAAAACCCTGAACTTTCTCATTCTGTAATTTTGAAAATCCTGGCGATGTCACCTGTTTATCGATCTTTTTGTTTATTTTGGTTATTAAGAATAACGTAAGCCTTTCCATTAACTTTCTTTCATGGGTGTTGCTTCTTATAAAAATTTGTTCTGTATGAAAATGTTGTAGAAATCTCCATGATTCCAGGGAGGCTAGGGTTTCACTCATTCTTCTTTGCTACTGTTCTGGTGGGTATTTCCATTACTGTTGATGTTAACTGGAAGAGGATTTTTACTAGTCCCTGTTACTAGAATATGAACATTTGTGCAGCCAACAAGTTGTGCTTTATGAGGTGCACTAATTTTTAGTGAGTAGCTAAGGCTTGTGTCAGACTTAAGCTGGAACGTTGGAGTTTTTTTGCCTTAAAAGGGCTTTTAATGGTCATCTTCAAAAATGTTAGGGCTCCCTTTTCCACATAACTGATGTTTTGCATATTTAATTTTGAGAAGAAATTAGATAATCCTTCAACTGCACCAGGTGACAAAGCAAGAAGTTTCTTTACATGTAGAAATGATAGTTGGTGCTGGGATCCTTATTCTTTGGAAATATGCACTTCAAGCATCCTGCCATGACATGAAGAGGAATGCATGCTGCAAACAGAACAAACAAGTCCTTTCCATCCCTGTGGATTGCATGCAATGTACGCAAATGTCTGTCAGCTATTTGTAAGAAGATTATAATTCCAATCTTGGGTAACCTGACAATTACTTGAAAAAAAGATTGCGAACATAAAACCAGAGTATTAACATGGTATATATAGCCTACTTAACCATGTTGTCAACTTAACTTTCTTTAGGAAGAATTGGCACTGGAGGAAAGTTAGAAACAGCATTTGGAGAGGAATGGCACTATAATTCTTTTCTTTTTTTTCTTTTTTTTCTTTTTTTTCTTTTTTTTTTTTAAATTTCTATAACATGTGGCTAAAATCAATCAGTTCAAAATTGCCATAGTTCAGTAAAATATTTGTCACTAACATATTTTCATTGTTTTTTCTATTATGAGTCTTCAAATTGGTGTTTTTAAAGAGAGCTTTTAACCTTCCTCCTTTGGGTTAAGAGCTGAATATCTATTTCGCCTTTAATCAGAGCATAACTTCCTTATTTTCCTGAGCCATGTTTTTTCACCAAAACAGCTACTGAAAAGCTTTCACATAAAATGAGACTCATGTTGACTAAGGGATTCTTAATGTGTTTGTGAAATGTTTGAATGTATGCATTGGCAAACTACTGCATTTTTTTACTCTGCAGGTGGAATGACATTGGGAATATAGCACATAACAAGTCTTCAATTGTTCTAGAGTTGATCAACAAAGAAGAGAATGTACTCTTTCACACAGTAAGAAAAAGATCTAATCAGTGTCATCAAGAAAGTTGCTTATGTAAAAAATATACCTTTAAAAATCCACTTTCCCAAAGGGGCTTACTCACCATAAACCCTTCCCTCCTGACCCCCAGGTCACATTTTATTTTATGCAGAGAGTGAAATGAATTTAATTTAGCTACCAGTATTTGTATTCTCTTCTAAGCATCTCCAAAGTATGCTATGATGGGAAGTCAGCAAAAACCTGAAGCGCTTGTTTGGTGAAACATCCGCAGTGCCACACTATCTTTCATGTTGGCATAAATATAGCAGCATAAGCAGTTGTAGAAACCGGGCATAAGCTACCATGTGTGCACATATGGGAACTCAGAGGGCTGCAGTGCTGTTCTGTGCTATTTAAAATCACTCCATATCTCCCTGAACCAAGGCCAGTAAAGAAACTGGACCAGCAAGCTTGAGCCATTTTTTTGTTGTTGTTGTCACTCCTCTTCTACTGTGGCTTAGCAGTGAAGTGGCAGCATGTAAAGGCATGCCACTGTATTTCAGTAATTCAGTGCCTTGAATGCTCTTGAGGGCACTAGACATGTTCTTGGCAGCCAGATTCTCTACCTGACAGACCGGACCTTACCAAACATTACTGCAATTGGATTTTTAAAACTCTAATTTGCTGCTACTTGGTAAGAATAACGAAAAGAATGATTATGTTTGTGTATATATATGTGTATATCTATATGTCTTCCTATTTTTTCTTCTGTTTAAAGGATGATCTTGAAAATGCCAAATATATTTCACGGCTGTTTGCAGCAAGACACAAGTTTTACAAACAGAACAAAATCTGCACAGAGTGAGTACTCTCTCTTCAGAGTTGTTTTCTGACACCCTGCTTTGGAATTGATCCGAGTTTTGGCATGTCTGGTTTTGTTTGTTTTTTCTAGTCACTCGTGTCAGTTATTCTTTTCCCTTTCCCTTATTTTGTTTTAACCACCAGCAAGAACAGACAATTAAGAATGAAATTGCATTCTGTGCCTTGAGAGGCTTGATGCTCCCCAAGCAGCCAAACCTGACAGAGCCTTGAATTGAAGCCCTTGGTCTCTGTTGTTCATAACCCAGAGTCTTACTATAAACTGGAGTGAAAGGTGACACATGTTAACATGCCAAAATGTGAATTGCGGTAGCATTTTGAAGATGCACTACCTATTTAGCAGCTAAGGTTGGTGGAAAACACAGGTTGGCATCTTCTAATTTGGACAGTATAATTTATCTGCTGCTTAGGTGCCCCAAACAAGGGAGGACACCTGGGACTGTTAATCTGCATAGCCATACTAGCACAATGCAGCAGGGACTGTAAATCTGAAGCTGAAGTCTCCTTTAGGCTCTCCTGTGAGCACTTACAGAGGAACTGGCCTTGAACTAGTCCTCTCGCACAGGTGGATTCATCCTCACTGAAGGAGGAATAATTCATGAGGGTTTAGTTATAAGTCAGAAGTCTGTTTGTTAGCTGAGGATGTTTCATTTTTACCGCCATGCAGCAATTTTAGTTTGAGATAAATTTAGCTTACAAAAGTTTAGACTTTTGAGAAATTTTCATGATGTGCTGGGTTTGTATAGCAATGAGAACATGAATTCCTTGCAAAACTTATCAGCTTAGTTAGCTGGAAAGATATGAAGAAGTCTCATCTCTATCAACAGCTCTAGTTAGAACTGGACATCCCATCTGTTCAGCTGGGTGATGCCATCTGTTGGAAAATAAAGCCAAAACGATGAAGGAAAGATTGGAAGGTCTAGCTTCTTAATATTACGTATGCACACATTATATTAACATATGGTGAGTTAGAGTATTGGGGAGACCAATGAGTTGAACTGCACAGAATGATCTTTTCACTTACAGAAAAAGAGATGTTGATTAGATTTCAGATGGTGCTTACAGTTCTTGGGATGTGAGTGGAAGACCAGTAAAGACATTTCTTAGCAGCATATAATGCATTTCAGTAGTCCAATACTAAATTAAATTTTAATGGTTTCAGAGGAATTGAGTTCAAAGGAGACTCCTGATTGTCTCCCCTGTGACAGTCAAGAAAGAAAACAAAATACCATAGTCTGTCACTGTGGAATATTTCCCCTTTGCAACTGTATTTTAGGGTCAACAGAGAGGACTGTTCTGTTACCAATAATAATCCAGACTGCAGAAGCAATAGCTTTTGATTGTGTTGATTTCTAAACACTGAGCCTTAAGTATGTGGGTACCATGAACTGGATGCGTGTAGCAGCTTCATATACAACTTACAGATATTTGGACTAATAAAGATAGGGAATGACTGAGATAACTGAGGTTTAAATGTATTTTTGCCATTAAAACTGCTCTTCTTACCACAGTCTCATGTGGTATCAGGTTCCGTGTTAGAGCCACAGATATTGATGACAGCATATGCCAATGTGTGTTTTCTAGCCAAATAATTTTCCTGCCCTCTGTGTTAAAATGATAGTTGTTTGTTTTCCTGTGTGCATTTCCTCTAATCACACATAACATCATTCACCAGATCAGAAACTGTAAGAGGACAAATTCTACCTTTCCTCTCTTCACGTAAGCACTATATTTCTGCCTCTTTCAACTTGTTTCTCTCCCTTCCTCATTTTTTTTTCCTCCTACACTCCTTGTTCCTTCCACTGCACTTGGCAACTCTAACGTTGTATGTAGCTCTGCTATTATTATCTAACCAGCTGCCTTTTTTTTTTTTTTTTCCTCCTCACCTGTGTGCATTGCTTTGGAGTGATTGCTGTGAATTTCATAAAATTGTCATTGTTTTAATGTTCACCTTAAGTTATTTGAGACTGTGCTTGTGCGCTGTGTTCAGTTTTTATTGCTTAAGAGACTTGATTCATTTTTTTTAAAACCAAAGTTTTTCTTTCTTGTGTTTCCAAGTAAGCGAAATAGGATAATGAACAGAAGGCATGTATATTTTGGAACTGGAATTCTTCCTGTATTTAGAGAAGAACCTGAATTATTTTCATTTATTCATATTTTTTAAATTCTCAGTAATGAGCAATACTTACTGATTCTTCATCTCTTGTTTTTTCCCATTCATTCTTGAATCAGAATTGGAATATTGTAGTTTCTAGTATTTCTCTTTACTTCCACAGACAATCAAGTTCTCCTCCCCCTATCCGACGACGGCCCACTTGGAGTAGGTCATCCTTGGTATGTGCCATGGTGGGGTCTTTAAGAATGTCTATACCATTTGTAATGGGATGGGGCATTGTGTAAGATGGAATACTTTCTAAATTTCAAATAAGTGCATTAACTCATTTCTTGTAGGCAATATGATTGGAATGAATTTCAAGGGTGTGGCTGCCCAGGTTGATTAATTTAACTGGATAATATCACCACTGAGTATTAAAAATTACAGTCTTCAAGGCATTATATTTTTATTTGCCCTGCAGAAACTGAGCATCTTTTCTACTGGATTGAGGTTATTTCAATATGTAGAGAAAATAATCCTCTAGAAAAAATTTGAAGTGTCTTGTGCTGTATACATCAAAACCTAGTCATTACATAATTTTACAGCTTCTCATTTCATGTTTCTTCCATTCCCCTTGTTTTTATATAACTTGCAGTTTAACTGCTTCCTGGGTTAAGAGCCGATTTTCTGTGCAAAGTTACTGTGATTTTAAGTAAAACTATTATAATCAGCACAGAATTGTGTTTCAGAGTTTTTCTTAAGCTGTATTTGTTTCCATTTAACTAATCTCCATTAATACTATAAATCTGACAAAACTTGGGCAACTTTTTCCCAAAATCTTTACAAAAAAAAGTCTATGGGAGTCTTGGGTTTTTTCCCAGTCAGTTCTAAGGACACTGTTTTTGCATCCAATTTTAACATCTAATACATCAGTATTTCTGACAGTAATTCAGAGTCTGTTAAATAAGCGTAGCAACAGCACTGCTGATTCCTTAGACAGAGGGCAATATTATCTGTGTGCAGGTTGCTGGTTTTCATGTGTGATATAGGTTTTACCTGCTGTGTGGACCTTCCCAGAGTGATAACTCCATTAGCCTATAGCTGCATGGCAGAAAGCTAATGTGTGCAGGGGTGTTTTCCTGACACATCCCCATGGTGTGATTACAGCTTGTGAAAATGTTCCAAAATTAAGCTTAAGCAGGTACTGATATTAGGATAGCTTTATCTTTGCAGGTTTCAGCACAGGTTATTTTCCTGTGTGCATATATATGGTCCGTTAGATCTAAAAGTTGCATTCTGTGTTTCCCAGCCATTGGCAGGAAAGCTGTTGTAGCTGGCTCTGGATTTCTTTGTACTTTCATTCTTAGTGTGTTTCTAAGGCATCACGATGCAACATACAGGCTGTGTATTAGGTTCTCTGAGACATATTTACAATATTGTTGGTATCTGCTAGTTTGGTCCCTGGAGGTGACTATGAAAAACTGAAGGTGAAGAAATTGAAACTTGCTTTGCATTCTTGTGATACATCTGAGGCCATAGCATAAGGGGAAGAAGGGAGCTACCTTCTATATTAGATATGAAAAATGGAAATCTACTTTTTAAAAGGAAAAATAAATCCTGCTGTCTCTTTATGTTTTGAACATAAGCATGCAACAAGTTTTAAAAAAAAGCCAAAGTCTCAGGAAGATCAAGAGGAGGAATGTATGCTCATGTATTAAAAAGCGAACTGGGCTGCTAACCATTCACATTGAAATTTCAGCTGCTTTTTTTGTAATTGTTTTGTTAACTTGTTGGAACAGTTCTCTTTGGGGAGAAGCTAAAAAAAAAAGCCCTCCTGACTGTTGTCTGCACTGTACATATCTTTATACACCTACCTATTCATTTGTCTTGTACAGTAATAAATCAGTAGGCATAAATGGGAGGTGAGGTGGAATCTTTGGGGTGAGGGTGTGCTACTTCACTGAGGATCATGTTCATTACTTTCAGATTAAGACCCTTTATATGGTTCTGGCATCATGGTGAACCTGTATTTTATTAACTATTACTTTAAAGTCATTTTATGCTGTTTCTTTTTCCTGTTAGGCCACCCAATGATGCTGTTTCTCCAGCAAAACCTCCTTTTCTGTCAGAAGAGGCAGATGGGCCTTCAAAAACAAACAAACAAACAAAAAGAATAATCCCTAATTTCTTGCAGATACCTTTCATAACATCTGCCACAAAGAAAACTGTCTGCTCCAGATCTATACATTCCCAGTAGAAATCAATTCTTCCTTGCACTTTTCCTCCTCCCCCCATTTGTTAAGCTTTCCAACATCTTGGTTTGTCCCAGACTAAGCTCCGCTACTTGAGTTGCCAGCAGCCCAGGTTGTTTGGTGAGAGTAGGGTTTTATACCCTTGGAAGTTGTAGCAGAAATACTTCCTGTCATCTTCCAGCTCTGGTTTAACAACAGCAATTTTGTATGCAAGAGTTCATATGTATGCTCAGTTTCTTTGATTCGCATTCCTTCTCACCATTTACATAGAAAACGTGAATTTATAACACTTTCCCCACCCTCTCTTCGGTAGCTAACTTGCATGGTGCTCATTTTGGGCAAGTGCATGCAGAAGTAAATTATTTTGTGTTTGTTTTTTGCCTTGGACATCCACAGTATTCCTTAATAGTTTGAACTACTTGAATCAGCCTAGATGAAAAGCCCTTATTCTGCTGTTAAGAAAGACATATTTGTGTGACAAGAGTGTCTTCCTTCTCTTTCTGCTTACTTCTTATATCAAAATATGTTTTCATAAACTTTGCTTAGTGACACCAGACAGGACATTACAGTGCAGGTGGTAAAAAGTGATTGCAAAACACATCAGTTTACTGGTGGACAAAGCTGGTGAATGCGGTGTGAGCTGTGATTTATTTCACTGCAAATGATCCTGCTGATTTAATGCTGAATTGCCCCTGTGACACTTGTGTTAAAAATGTTGCTGCAGTTCACATGGTTGGAGGAGGGCTCCAATTCATTATCTAGGGAATCCAATATGCATATAATTTGCAGTTATTTTAAGTCTATGTGTGTTCCTATTACTTGTTAGGTCCTTGAATTTTTTCCATCTCCTGCCTTTGTCCTGATTTAGGTGTTTGGGATTTTTTAATTCTTCAAGGGCAAGAGCTTTTAACAAACTTTTGAAAAGTTTGAAGTGAGCTGGGAGCCTGGATGTTGTTTTCTGAAGTGGTTGAGCTTAAAGGAGTATTAACTGGTCAGCTTTGGGCTTTGTAACAAACTGTAGCAAACAATTTACAAAATGTTATTCTCTGTTCCATAAAGAAATGCCAAGCCATGTGTCTTTGGCTGGGTAAGAAAGAGCAGAATTCAGTGGAAAGGGCATAGAACCATTTTTCCTGTTTCAGCTGCAAAAACTGTAGCAAGCAAAGTTCCTAATGTTTTTTTGGTTGTTGTTTTTTTTTTTTTTTCCTTATGCTTTTATTTCAGCCAAGACAACATCCATTTATACTGCCTCCTATGCATGTCCAGTGTGGAGAACACTACACTGAAACACATAATTCACAAGGTACTTAAAGCATATATTTTTACTTTAATGGACTTCAATTTTCTGTGTATGCAAAGAATCTCCTAACCCTTATGTCTAGATTTCTAATGCTGTCATGGTGAAATGGGAGCTGCTGCTGGAGGAGAGCTAGCAGTTTTATAGTTAATGTTGCAGTAAGTCTTCTGTTTAAATTCCAATTTCAGTTTTCAAATTTCTCCAAAATGTCTATGCATGATTATATGGACCTTAAACTTGGTATTCCAGTTCAGTGAGCTGAAAAAATAATTTCTAAAGGAAGTATGATGGCCGTACTCAAAGGCAGTGCCAGCTGGAGCCAGGGAGAGAAATGGAGTGACAGAAAAGGAGACAGCAAATATATTTTACTGTAGGAGAAATCATAGTGCCCTGGTCACAAAACTGTATATTTAGATAATCTTTTCTGCTGTTTTTTTACCAATATCTGCCTACACTATTAGTCTTACGGACATAAGGAGGGTTAACTATTTTTACCCCTGTGTTTGACAAATAAATTCTCTAAGAGGTTGTACGAGGTTACTTTGATCAAGGCTGGGAATGGAGCCCAGCCCTGAAACACCTTGAGTCTCACACCCTTAACCACACCACCTTTTGGAATACACGTAGCCAGGTCTGCTGGGCTATGTTCTTTGCAGTTCATGAGAGGTACAGTTGAAGTGTTCTCACCAGCAGAGGAGCTCTTAGTCATACCTTATGGCATTTTAGAGTTGTGTTGGTCTGACTAATTTAAGGTCGATTTCGGTAAGTTTTGAAAGGAGCCATTCAGTATAGTTCCTTGCATGCAGTAGGTTTAACTTAGTGGCTGCTACTGTTTTACTGTGAAGCTGGGGCTCTGAAGCAGGGGATATTCTGTATTTTAGAAGAATTATAAAGTTCCCTTAGTTTTTCCACAGACCTCTATTGTTGAAGAACTAGCAGAGTTTTGGGAGCTGCTGCTCTTTTCTTAGATGGATAGTCTTGCAGTAAAGTTGTGGTCCACCACCTTTACCACCTTGATTCCCTCTCAGTTATCCTTTGCTGAAGTATTTAATATTCTTTAGCACGTCTGTAGAGTTGGGGTTTCTTCCATTCTTTTTTTTTCTTTTTTTTTTTTCCCCGAGTCTTGGTCACTCTGATGTGTTTTATTTCAGATCCTCAAAACTGTTGGTTGGTCTGACGTAGGATTTTCAATTTCATAGTCCTCTGCTACTTGGAATTGCATGCATCAGTGCATCAACAGAAGAGAGAACTTTTGGGATTACCATAGGCTAGCAGGACTGGACTTTTAAGGTGGCAGCAGCAGTGAATCCTTACAGGATGCTGAGGGAGGAGATGCCCCTTAATCCTTCCTTGCCACCCCAGGCAAAAACACTTCCTCTCTTTCCCCTTTCATGTCTCCCACAAGGATCTGAACTACCTTATTTTGCTAACTGTTGGGAGTGTTTACATGAGTAGCTTTGTTTCAGTTCTATTTCAGTGACTCAGTGATGCTCCCAAGACCACACATTCCCTGCAGCTGTTGTACACTAAGATGTCTGTGTATTTGTTGGTGCGGACTGCATGTGAAGTTTTGTTAACATCGAATGACTTCTTGTATATTAAAATTGTCTGTGTCTTTATCTCTGCTCTACGCAGATAGCATTTTCCATGGAAATGAAGAAACTTTCTACTGTAGGTCTCAGACCAGTTTGGATAGGTGTCCAATGGACTTCAGCTACTTGAATGGTAACGGACCCAATGGGAGTGTATGCAGTGCCCACAGCATGAACTCCCTCAATCGCTCACAGAACTTCATCCAGGCATCTCCCATGTCTTCAAATCTGAGCATCCCTGGAAGCGACATCATGAGAGCAGACTATATCCCCAGCCACAGACATAGTGCAATCATAGTACCGTCTTACCGGCCAACTCCAGATTATGAAACTGTCATGAGGCAAATGAAGAGAGGAGTGATCCAGATAGATAGCCAAAGTCAGTCTTTGAGAAATCTCAATATTGGAAACACACATGCTTATAACCAGCCAGAAGACCTAGTTTATAGTCAGCCTGAGATTCGAGACAGACATCCTTACACAATTGCATACGGTCCCCAGGGTAGTGGCTATAACAAGCCCGTTGCCCCGTCTGACCAAATGAACCCTAATACTGCTGCTCAAAATAAGACAGCAGCCAGTGCCATCTCCCACACTGTCAGCACACCAGAACTGGCTAACATGCAGCTGCAGAGCAGCCAGAGTTACAACACTGCTCACATGTTAAAGAACTATCTCTTCAGACCCCCACCTCCATACCCGCGCCCACGTCCTGCAACTAGCACGCCGGACCTGGCAAGTCACCGGCACAAGTATGTCAGTGGGAGCAGTCCCGACCTGGTCACTCGCAAAGTCCAGCTCTCGGTAAAGACCTTCCAAGAGGACAGCTCGCCGGTCGTCCGTCAGTCGCTGCAGGAGGTCAGCGAGCCCCTCATGGCAGTGAAGCATCATGCAGCTGTGAACAAGCGCCATAGTTTGGAGGTCATCAGCAATATGGTACGTGGTATAGAAGCCATGGCATTAAAGACTTTAAATGCCCCTCTGCCACGCAGGAACACTTTGCGGGAGCAGGTGCAGCCAGAAGAGTCGGTTCAGATGGCGCATGAAGTTCAGCAAGTTCCTCATTATCATCACAAAAAGACATTCTCTGATGCCACGATGCTAATACACAGCAGCGAAAGCGAAGAGGAAGAAGAAACCCCAGAATCTGTGTCACGGATAACAGCTCTCCATGAGAACATGGAGTACAGTGCTCAGCTGCAAGCTGCCTTGGCTAGAATACCAAATAAACCTCCTCCAGAGTATCCTGGGCCTCGTAAAAGTGTCAGCAACGGAGCCCTGAGGCAGGACCATGTTAGCATTTCTGTGGCTGTGGCCAGGGCCAAGGCCATGAGGCCAGGGCCTTCCAAAGCCATTAGTGTCTCTCGAACTGATCAAATGGCAGTAAATGGGTCTTCGCTCGGGCCCTCTATCTCAGAGCCTGACCTCACAAGTGTGAAGGAGCGGGTCAAGAAAGAACCTGTCAAGGAAAGGCCTGTGTCTGAAATGTTTTCTATTGAGGACAGCATTATAGAAAGAGAAATCATGATGAGGGTAAGTGCTTTCCTCTGTTGCAGTGGCTTCTTGAAAATTAATAATCATGCAGGTCGGTTTCCATACCAGAAAACCGTTGGATCAGTCAACTGTGGGGAACACGTGGGCGGGAAGATGTGGATTTGCTTAAAGCTAGGAAATGTGATATGAAATGCCACATACAATTTGGTTTCGTGGGTCTGTATGGCAGCCAAAGGCGCCGATCCCGTGCACTGCTATTGGGCTCATCTGCTTCCTCCGCTCTGGTTGTTCGGCATCTGGCCAGGTCCACGTCTGACCCAGGCGACGGTGCCAGCCCCGGGCGGGGGGCAGAGCCTGTGGCCGGGTGGCGAGGGGGCTGGCTGCAAAGCCCCCCTCAGTCCCTGCTCCCCTTCTGCCCGCGTGGCCCTCTGGCTCCTGCAGATTTGAGGGCAGGCTGAGTCTGAAATGTGTTTGCTGAGATGGGTGGGAGATTGGATTTTGGCTCTAGCATTTTATTCTTTCTTTGCAGAGGTGTCGAGTTAAGTATCACATAATATATAACATAATGGAAACTCTAGAGTTTTTCAAATTATCTCTTTGATTGCCCTTCCTGCCACTTTATATAACACAGTTATCTGAATAAAACACTGTTAGCTGTAGAATATGGATTGCTGGTTTTGCCAATAACTAAATGAGTGACCGGATATCTAATTACAGAAGCAGCAGATGTAGAGGCTGTGTGGTTGAGGATCTGGATTGTTTATTTTGAAAAAATGTACTCAAGTATGAGAAATAGGGTCCTTTTAAACTTGCAATGAATTTAGAATAAAAAAGCATTTAAAGGCTTCAATGCCACTTCAAGCAATGGCAGAAATATGAGGGGTGCTTACCGTATAGTGATTTGTGTGCTTGATGTAACTCTGTGGGGTTTGCAACTGCAGTTATGGAAGGCAAAGTGTGTGCCATAGTTCGTTCTTTCAGAACTGAGGCCTGAAACAAAAACAATTCCTGAAACAAGTTAATGAAGCATCTAACTGGTCCAGAGTAGAATAGACTTTGTAATGTACTATATCAGTAACTGGTTAGATTTAAATACTACTATATATTCAAAGAAAATTTCTAAACAGATGTATAGTGCTTCTTGTTAATTAGTGATAATTACACTGATGTAATTGTTAGAAATCAAACTTGGGCCACTAAGTTGTATCATGGAGGCTGAATTTACTCCTTGCAGAATCTTAAACTTTAAATGTAAAATAGACACTTGACTAAAACATAATCTTTCATGAATGAATACTGTAGACGTTGATGTAACAACAAGCATATATGTGCTCTTTTGATCTTCTGAGGAAAGACAACATTGAGAAGCAGGAACTCAAAGGATTTTAGGAGGAAAGGAAGGTGAGATTAGAATTTAGGGACATTGTTTCAGTAGTCTTCTGAATAATCACTCAGATCAGCCTTTGGTCAAAAGGCGCTGCTTTGTTGTTTTGAAAGATAGAGGGGGTAGTTTTAGCAATAAGCTCTTACGGTGGTTTCAGCCTCAATCATCAGTCTTAACACATGCAGACCTTCCTTTTGTCGTAGGAATCACATGTTATATTAATGGTAATTTGATGATCTTGATTTTTTAAACACAGACTTTTCTATTCTACCTCACAAGTAATAATAAAATCTCCAAAGAAAGAAAAAATACTTGCATTTTTCCGCTTTCTGAAAGTATGGAGAGAAAGCAGAGCAGGTTTGCATTTTTGTTTTGCTTTTTTGTTTGTTTTTTTTTTTACTCAGTGCTCTGGAGGAACCCAGTGGTGAGGAGAAAGCTCACGGGCTTTTGAAAAATCATTCAGGTTCAGTAGTGTGTTTCTAGGAGCTGAGCTCAGCCTGTGTGGTGACCACAGTTTCTATATGCATGCTGAGAACCAGGCTTCCCTTGTGTTCATCTCTCCTTCCAAATCCAGCAGAAAGAACTGTTAAGGAAATGGAATAAAACATTCCTAATTTGTGTACTTTTGGAGATGGTCTGTCTTCTTTGCTGATGTTTCAGTTCCCAGTAGCATAAGGAGGGCAGCAGCAGGTTGAATTTTAAATTCATACTCTGGTTGTCCATGTCACAGCATAATACGATGCATGAATATGATAAATGATATCCTTCCCTGGCTGCTGTTACATTCAATTTCTGGGATGTGCGAGCTCACCATAATAGTTGAGTGCATCAGAAGACTTCTCATTTTAAGTATTTACCATCACAGAAGAGAAACAATGACCTGTGTTTTAGTGTGTGTTGTAATAGATTGAAATTATTGCTTTTTAAAAGATGCCCCTGGTATCTTGGCTGTGGTTGTACTACTTTAACGTAACAGGGTGATGCTTTATGTGTCCTACATTCAGAATAATGTTTGCAGAGAAATGCTTAAGATTGTATTTGTATGTCTTCTGATGGCATGTAAACTGTATTATACATGGGGATGGCTTCTTTGAAATTAAAATTCTGTGCTCATGTAGGAGCAGGCCTTTGAGGAATAACAGGAAGAATAGAGGTTGTATTTGAATTTATGATGCTAATGGTGATCATCTGCATTCCTTGGCCAGAGAGTTGCAGATTTTGGAGATTAAAAAAACATTCCAGCATTTTACTGGCATTATAAATAATCACACAGAGATGAAAACGTGCCTTTTCTTGCCAAAAGAATCTAGAAAAGCAGAAGATGGCAGGCCTGGAGGCCCAGAAGAGGCCCTTGATGTTGGCAGCACTGAACGGACTCTCAGTTGCTAGGGTTCCGGTGCCGGAGGACAGCCAGGATGAAGTCGCCAAGGTGCCAATGGATGAGAGGGTAAGATGGAGGCTCGTGAAATGTTGCTTGTTCCCTTTGTTCCTAGCAGGATGAAATTTCTAAAATATTAAGATTCTATTTAAAATGTGAAAAAAATTATCTTCAAATTTTTCAGCGCCTTTAATGGAAAAGACCTGTGGTTACCACTAGCATGTCTTTGGATACAGGCAAAGGGTTAAACATCTTGAACTTTTACTGAAGTCGGTGAAAACTGAGGCTGTTCACTGTTTCACGTGGCCATACAGTTGTACAAGACCAAGCTGTAAATCTAACATTTTGCACACTTTTCACTTGATCAGTCAGTCTTTCTACAGTGATCATCCATAGACAACATCTTTCATGTTCTGTACAACTAGAGTTCAGTTAATGTCTCTTAATGGGATTAAATTTAAGGAAAGGAAAAAAAAAAAAGCCGTTTACTTCCTGATGTTTGCACACGTGGGTGTGTGCACATATATGAAATTTCAGAAATTAAAAATAGTTACTGCTATTAAGATTTGGGACATTTATTTGCAAAGAAGCTTTCTGGATAGAAATTTGCAGCCTTGTGTTGTCTGATATGCAGCTGACAGAGCTTAACCTCCACCTGTGTATGTGGGGTTGTGTTCAACCACAGAAATGGCAGACTTGCAAGTTAGGGAGTATTTTGAAAAAGTGGACCACGTCACGCTTCTCGCAGTATGGTCTTCTTCCTAAAAAGATAAAATATTTTTACAAGTATCTATTGTGGTGAAATCACATACAAATTCATACTGAATCAGGATTGTATTTAGCATGGTTTTGCTTTTTATGGTATCAGTCTTAAAAACTGTGGGAGTGGAATGTAAAAATGTAAAATTTGCTTGTGGTTTCATTCAGTAGAAAGACTGTGTGGTGTTTCCTCAGAAAGCAGCAGCTGTAAAAAAGCAGTGAGTGAGAGGATGCTATGGCTGTACATTAAAATTCAAAGAATGGATGGAGGAGTCTAGTGGTAAATGTTCTTCCAGGAAGAATTAATGGCTAGGTGTTCCTTTCTGTTAAATCTTAGTGCAAAATCTTGAAGAGGAAGTTGGAAGAGGGGATGGTGTTTACAGAATATGAGCAGATTCCAAAGAAAAAGGCAGATGGGATCTTCACCACTGCTGCCTTGCCTGAAAACACTGAGCGCAACCGCATCAGGGAGGTCGTTCCTTATGAGGAGAACCGAGTAGAGCTGGTGCCGACCAAAGAAAATAATACAGGCTACATCAATGCTTCACACATAAAGGTAAAAACTTTCTTGAACTTTTCTTTGCAAATGAAGGTATGTTAAAGCTTTGTTTGCATTTCTGGATACGCAGTGGAATTTTCTGTAACTCTGGAGCTCTTGAAAAGGTAACTTAGTTAGAATGCATCATTGTACCTTTGTGTCAGCATGGGCATCTTTAAAGTTCCCTGTCAACTAACGTACATGAGTTGATTTAATTGCTAGAGTCTGCGAAGTTGTTTTAGAGATGCATCCTTACTTTTTTTTATGCCCACCTCTGCCAGCTGGTTGTGGAATGTCTCTGTTGGTTAATGTAGAAGGAGTTGCCATGTTTCTTAAACCTCATGAAAATGCATTAGATCAGCTCCAACACCTGCAGTGTAATATGGTTGTCATGACCCGGTACCTGAAAGAATGAGCAATCAGTACGTGTTCTGTTTTATGAGTCCAAATAGCCTTCCAGGCCACTGGGGAACTACAGCAACCCGTGCAGAATGAGTCCCTGCAACCGACTGGTGCAGCCTGAAAGAAATACTGCACAATATTTGACCAAAATATTTTTTCCATTTACTAGCATATAGGGTACAACTTTTAAAAATCAGGGGTGTGGCTCTGTGTATGCAGTTCCATGTCTAAAGACAAAGTATGTGGTTATGAGTAATGCATGTTCACATAGACACTGCAATTATGTATATAAATAATGTATTTCTTCCTTTTATGATAAGAGTTGAGCAATTTTAAAATAATTTATTTTTAAGTATGCATTAATAAAGAGAACACCTTGCTAATGAGGTCCCTGTGTCTCTGGATACTGCGTTGAACTTCTATGTTTCAAAATAAGTTTTTATCAAGAAACTTCAGATTTCTTGTTAATTTAATGTAGAAATAATTTAAGATATGATCTAAGTATTACTTACAAACATGGCCACTTTTAACAGTGAACTATCCTGCAGTGGCTACAGACACTTGTTTTTCTTTAAGTTTCCAGTACTATTTGCAAAGTCCTTTGTTAGTTTTTACTCTACCCTGAAAGAAGTACCAGCACTCCTCTCCCTCAGATGACAGATTTTCTTGTCAGAGGGCTGTCTGCTTTTTTTCGTTGTCAAAATCCAAATTAAAAAAGAAATAATTTAAATATAATAAATAAAATATCCTGTTAAATTAATATTTTCCTGGACTAAAAGCCTTTTAAAAGTTTAAAGAGACTTGCTGGCCAACAGTGTTAAATCCTGTTGATTCAAAATAATTTCTGAACCAGGATCCTGGCATCTTATCACTCTTCTACATAGTCTGGTAGTTAGCAGATACTGAGTTTTTACATAATCAGACGTTGCTATGATGGTGGATTTCTGAGCCCGAAATTTTTCATCTACTTTGTAGGAGGCCAGAAAAAAGAGATTCCTAACATAAATTATGCCCACAGAGCAGCACTAGCCAGAAAAGAATTTTCCCTGGCTAGTTTTGCATCCACTTTTTATCTTGTGTGTCATTGTTGGACACGCACACATCTCGCATTCATAGATCACCCAGGAACACGCACAAATGTTCTAGCGTGTGACATCAGTCCTTGCCAGTATTTTCCTCGCACACTCGTAGTAGTGGCGCGTACAGAAGCCAAGCAGATGTGCTTTTGCTTAGAAGGTGAAATTGCATCTGCGAAATTTACCTCAGTAGCACAGTACGTGTGTGTTTGCAGCCCAATATGCAATTTTTAATATCCTGCAGTTAGGGCATTAAAATGCAGTAAACATTCCAGGCATCCCATTCCCTCCAGACTATTTATTTATGGTCCTTTCATGTCATGTGCCAGGAGGCTGGATATTTGGACCAGAAGTCAGTAGACAAAGAAAACTCCTATATCATCCTGATAAGATCCGTGCCTGGAGGATTCCAGCTCCCACTGCTCAGTCTGTGAGCCCCACAGTTTTACAGCATTTTTCTGCTTATTTGCCATAGACCTTCACTGTTAAGATGGTCATTTATATCAGAGAGAAAAACTGTAATTAAAATTATGGGTTAAGCACAAAAGTTCTTAAGACCACTTCATCTGACTGTTTGGGTCAGGTCAGTGTTAACTTAAAAAGCTCAGTAATGCTGTACCAGCACTCAAAACCGCCGACAAGCATGCAAGCACAGGACCAGTCCGAGTGCAAGAAGCTGGCTAGGGCTGTACAGGTTCTATTCATTCCCACTTAGTATAAGAACTTGAGGAGTCTACCTGCATTGGTCTTGCAGATTTTAACCATCATTCAAAGAGAGGAATGCTGCATAGTATGAAATAGGAAAATGAGTCCATGTACAGGGTTGAAAACAGTTGTCAATGCAGTGGAAAACTGGTTATCATACAAATGTTGTGCTAGTTACAGGTGTAAAAACCCAAGTATCTCAGCTTAATGAACAGCTATTTGAATAACAAATAAATTGATTCTCTTTCTGAGAATGTATTCAAAGCTCTGTACCTCAAACGTAGGATATGATTAAACCTGTCAGAGTTACTGATTGCTCCTTGTAGCGTTATCTGCCAGTACCTTGATATTTATGGACATGTCAGTATCTCTGTTGTAAATCTTCCTCTCTGGGATTTATAACATTGTTGTGAGAAGTGGCTCTGGGCTAATATGTAGAATTAGGAGGTCTTAGCCTGAGAAGGAAAAACATTTTAACATTTCAAAATAATTAGTTCATCTGGTTTTCCTTTTTGCTGGTAAGCATATTTTCAAATGTTATCTAGTAGCTCTAAAGGTGCTTTGGCTTTACCTAAAATGTTGGGAAAAAAATTTTGTTATAAAACTTCCTTGATGTATAGCAAATAATCTGTCATTAAATAATCATTGTTTTAAACACAAGTGGTTGTGGATGTTTTGGGGGTTTTTGTTTGTTTTTGTTCGTTTATTTGTTTGGGGGTTTTGTTTTTTAAATTGCCTAAATATGAAGATGTGCCTCAATCAGGTAGATGAAGCAGTGCTTTACACTGGTTAATTCCAAGGTAACACTGGGTCTGTACAGGGCACTACATAATATATAGTGAGTAAATCTGTGTGTTAGTGCTCTAGAAATAATTTCATTTATGTCGTCATGCAAATACACAAATATATAAAATATGGTTGGTAAACCAGTTAGGTATTGGGAAACAGATTTATATGACTACAGCTTTAGATAATTTTAAATTTCATGTGGCATTTGAAAGCCATTTAATATGCTGGATTTACTTTGTAGTAGTTTGGAGCTTCTGAACTGAAAAACCCAAGATGAGTGAGGAAGAGTAACTTGAAATAACTTGAAAGGAAGCCTGTCTGAATCTCATCACTAGCTGGCAACAGGCCTATCCGAGCTCTGTGTTACGTACAGCGTGGGGGCATGGCTGCATCCTCTGGGGACAGCTTGGCCACATCTTCAACAGTGACCAGTGTCGTAAGAGTCTCTATAAAAAATTATTTTTCACCTGAGTGGAAAATAATTGAGGGAGGATCTAAACAGCAGAGGCCTTTAGCTTTTGTTGTGCAAAATGTTATTTGCATTCAGGCTTTCTACACTACTGTGTGTTCATTTGCAGCAATGCAATGACTTTTTAATGCATATAGACACTTCCTCTGGTGCTCGGTTTTCCTTTCATCATGGGTCTGTCACCAAGCCTAGGGAAGTCAGTCAGCTTCTTATTTGTATTTAAGCCATATCAGAAACAGAGCCTCAAATAAAAAAAAAAATTTATTTTTTTTTTTTTTTTATCTGTATGATCCAGATGCAATGGCAAAAAATATAAATGGCTTTTTGGTCAAAACTTTATATTTATGGGCATCAAGAAAGGACTTGGAAGCACCAAAGATTGTGTTTTCTCAGATTTGCTCTTATCAAAAGGATGATTCTTGTTCAAAATTTGGAAGAGAAGTGGAAGAACAAGGAAGTAAAGATTTAATTCTGTCTCTTGTTTAAAGTGCAGTTCTGGCACAGACACTGCTGAGAATTTGGGCACTGACTGTATTTTTTTATTTTTTTTCCTTACTCCCAGGTTTCTGTAGGTGGAGAGGAATGGCACTACATTGCTACCCAAGGGCCTCTGCCACACACGTGCCATGACTTCTGGCAGATGGTGTGGGAACAGGGGGTTAATGTTATAGCCATGGTCACAGCTGAAGAGGTACGTAAAATCACAGAATACAGTTCTTTCTGATGTGAGCAAATCTCCTGTTATCATCACTTCCCACTCCAGTAGCCTTTTCTTTTTTTTCTATCAACAGCACTTTTTCCTCTTACTCTGTTTGAACATATGCCTGTACTGCTATAATACTATACTTTGTAACTTTCTGATACTCAGTTTGGCAACTATTACAGTGAAACGAGCAGAACCCCCCTTCCCCCTGCTACAACTCAGTTTGGCCAAACCAAACAAAGATGTTTCCATTGGAATGTGAGAGCGCTGAACTGCTGCTGGTTAAAATGACACAGACTTCCACCCTGTCCAAGGCCAGTTCTGTGTACCATCACTCTTATCAGCTGAAAAGAGACCAGAAGCTGTTGTTTCCATAGAAGTGTCCATGTTTGTTTGTTTTTTTTTTTAAAAAAAAAAACACCATCTTTTTATTCTTATGCCAAGCAAAATAGTTATTTCTATTGTAAACCAAGAACTGTGTGCTATGTTATAAAAACTGGCACACGTTGCTAACTAACACTGCATTCAGCTTTATGCCTGGTTGCTTTTAGCAAACACAGGGAGTGCCACAGCACATCAAGTCACTGTCCAGCTCCCAAGGCTGATCAACAACAGATACTTAGAAGTTGTGGAAGAAAATCTCCTTCCATTTAAAGGAGAGGCGTCCCTAGGAGAAGAATATTCACTGAGGTGGTGTAGGCAGTAGCTGGCCTTCGCCACAAGACAAAAGTTAGTTCTTCAAGCATTTTTACACTTAAAACTTTCAGCCATGTAATATTTCTAAGTTTTAATGCATATTTACTTTACTGGAAGAGCAAGGAGCATCCCACAATTTGAAATAAGAATACTTATCTGCAGAGTTTTATGTCCTCTGTTTATAGAGAATTATAATTGCAGGAACTAATGGCTATTTTTAATTTTTTTTTGGTCATTAAGGAGGGAGGAAGAAGTAAGAGTCATCGTTATTGGCCTAAGCTGGGCTCTAAGCACAGCTCAGCCACTTACGGGAAGTTCAAGGTGACAACTAAGTTCCGCACAGACTCCGGCTGCTATGCTACTACTGGTCTGAAGGTCAAGCATCTTCTCTCTGGGCAAGAGAGGACAGTGTGGCATTTGCAGTATACTGACTGGCCAGACCATGGGTGTCCAGAGGAAGTCCAAGGCTTTTTATGTAAGATTTCTTTAACTTGCATGATAAAATACATGAAGGAAAAGGTTGCTCACATTGGATTTGGTTCACTGCGCCTAGTTACAGCTGGGATTTATATTAAATGGTTATTGGTGTGGCATACAAAGGCCTCAACTAGGTTGTACTTTGCTGTGATTTGGAGAAAAAAAATGGGATTCAAGAGATAGGAGCTAAGGTGATTGAGGATCTTGGTCCTGAAAGACCTGACATAACAGGAGGAGAAATCAGAGGCAGCAGGAATGCTAAAGACTCAGGAAGTTTTAAATAGGATACTTCTGCTGGCTGATCTGTCAGTATAAGTTATTGCCACTTCCAAGCTACCTAATGAGTGTAGGAGCTACTAGGCTGCACACAAATGTGATTAGAGAGGTCTGGGTGAGAGATGTTCAGATGTTAGTGAAATATGGCACAACTCCTCCAGTTTCATGGGAGGCCCTTATTGATGACAGCAGCATTTAGTAGTCCAGGGGCATTGGATTTGTTGCAAAAGAGCAGAGGGCTCCATCACATATGCAGCAAGTCTGAACTCACTGCCACTCTTCTAACCACATGTACCCAGGGAATGCTAAGGGTCTGCCCAGATAAATATGGTCCTCGTTCATGCATTTCTGAAAATGCAGCCATTATAGTCATCTGTAATGAGTTAATAATGCTTCCTACTTCTTACCAAGTAATAAACACTACCATATTAAGTAATAGGAATTCAACAATTATTTAACCAAAGCTGTATCTTTGACACTACAGTAGAGTGTGATGCAGAGATCTTTAGGTTACCACTGAAGGAGTCTGTACACAGTGTACTGGTGCACTGGAGATGCCTGCCCTCTTCGCTCCTGAAAGCTTTGCAGCTGCAGCAGCGTAGCTCTGTCAGCAAGGTCCGTTGGTTCAACTTCAGTCTGGGCACAGCTACAGTCCTTTAGTGATCCACTCTTCTTTACATGGTGTAAGCTTGATGTAAATAACTTCTCCTTTTCCCAGCTCTGTCACCAGGCAGAAAATAAAAATGACATTTCAGCTTTGGCAAAGGAGTGCCATGGGATCTGTCTTTAAGGCAAAGCTATTGCCCAATTCCTAGTTTGTTTCATACTTTTTCTCCTACCAACCCCTGTAGCTGTGGTTGGGCATGTCAGTAATTGGAACCTGATTGTCCCCATTTCCTCTGTCCCATTGTTGGCCACCACATACAGTCCCATTTCACTGTGTGCATTAAAATGCAGCTTCTCTGATGTTCGTAGGCCTCCAGCCACAGCCTGCCTGTGTCAGAAGGACTGCTCAGCCTGCAGTGCCATGACACCAAGAGTCAGGACAGGAGAGTTTAGCTTAGATCTCACTTTCCACTCTGACTGGTGGGAAGCAAAGTGTCTGAATTATGCATCTCAGTATATCTTCCTGTTTGAGGTCCCTCATCTGTCATGCATCTAGACTATGCTAGAACCATGTTTAGAGGTCAGAGTTGTAGTTTACGGTGTGTTTATCTAACCAGGTAGGCTTCCAGTATATAAGGTTCTCTGTGCTGTTTGACAGTAGAATGCATTGAACAACACTTAGGACAGCTGCACAAGGCAACTGTTCTTGAGTTATGCACTTCCTAGAAATGACTTCAGGAAAAACAAAGACAGTGAGCTCCCAGAAGGGAACAAACCCTGAGCAAAGAGATGGGTGAGATTCTGTCTCACTCTAGATCAGGGAAGAGAGAGGGAAACAGGGCATCTGGATGCTTGCTTCCCATCTGATATTGGCTTTGACAGGCAGTAGTTTCAATGGGACTTAGCTGTTGTTTTGATCCCAGCCTGTTAATAGCAGGAATTGCTTAAATAATGTCTAGAATCATCTGGTTAGGGTATCTGGAGATTTGCAGAGGGGAAAAGATAATTTAATTTTTTAAAAGAACTATTTAGTTTAAAGGAGCAGACTCCCAAGTCATAATTGACACCGAGCTGGTACTTGCTGGATTCAGTGCTGTTCACTGCACCCTGACCAGAATAATTAGTATGTTTTAAAAAATGTAAATTATTGCCACTTTGACAAAGAGTGACTTTCCTATATTCTTTTTTTCCCCAGTTTTTACAGTTTGACATATAGATCTTTGCAACCTTGCCTGCATTTTACCTTGCAGCTTACTTGGAGGAGATACAGTCCGTGCGTCGCCACACCAACAGTGTGTTGGACAGCAGCAACAACTGCAACCCTCCTATCGTGGTTCACTGCAGCGCAGGGGTAGGAAGGACCGGAGTGGTTATCCTGACAGAACTCATGATTGGGTGCTTGGAGCATAATGAAGTAAGTCAGCTTCTTTCTCAAGACAAACTCTGAGCTCGCTCCGTGACTAACTAGCTACATTTCTGAGGTTAAAATTAAAAAGTATGGAAGTGCTTACTTTCCATCACCTTTGTGAGACAAGGGTCTTAAACGCAACAGGCGGAGACTTCCCATGGCGGGTTTTTTGTTGTAGTTTTTTGTTGAGTTGATAGTATGCATTTTTTTATTAGTATTATTTTAATACATTCAAAATTAGGGCTTTTTTCTCTCTTAAGAATTTAGTCTAATTCATACCTGTATCTAATTAACAGTCTAGAGACAGCATGTTTACAAGGACTACCTGAGAGAGACTAGAGAATAATGTCAGCTTCCTTGCTCTTCTAACAAAAGTTTTCTGCTCTCTAAATTCACCCCTTGGGCTCCCGTCTCTCTCCTGTGTTGTCTCTCATCTCACCTGGAACAAAACTGTGTCTTAAGAAAAAGGTGTGTGTTATGTCGGGGAGTAAGGCTTTAGGAACTGCAGCCAATATTGCAGGACTAGTAATACATTTTGAAATTAAGAATAGAGCATGAACAGAGAAATCATGTGTAGCAACTTACTTTTCATCTGTGTCCTGTGTCACTGGGGAACTGTCCAGGAAGAACATCACGTCTTGAATAACAATGTACCACACAGTTTCAGCGCAACAGCTATTGAAACCGGGAATTTCTGTTGCCAAAGAAACTGCTCAAAGACCAAAACCTCTTGTAGAGATAAGAATGCAGCAAGAGTGACAAGTAGACATAGATCATCTGTCCATACCATTAATCATCAACTGAATGAGTTGCTTGAGGTTCAGGGAAGACTGGATTTACACACCTGAAATGCTCACCTACTCTCTGTGTTACTGTAGAGGAGTTATAGATTGGAGCCTTTCTGTGCAAGGCAGTATGCAGAGTGCAGCTTTCTGGCTCATTCAAAAATGTGGGTCCTAAAGCAGGCAAGTACCAGTGCACTTTCCTCTTCATTGCTATTTATTAAAAAGTTGATGCAAGATGTAATTTTTTTGTTCTCTACTCTGCTATACCCCTCCAGCAGCTTGTCATTCTGTAGTTACAAGATCACCTAGAGATCCTGGGCTCAGTTCAGATGAGATGAACCTACTCCCTCTTTGGTTGGGCCTCACTAGGGTTGAAGCTGCCCTCTAGATGTGTGTCACAATTTACACATTTTTCCTTTCTTTTTTATCTGGGGGCAGGGTAGGTGGGGGAGGAAGGGGAAGGAGGAGCTGGCCCAGACAGAAGGGACCCACAGGTGTGTGGTTTGGGAATCCTGCAGCCTTCCCTGTGCCAACTGCTGTTCAGTAACTGCTCCTGTGTGGGGCAATGACTGTGACTCTTGAGCCTGCTTGACTTCTTTCCTTACGCCCAGGCATCTGGATGTGGCTGCTTGTGTTCTTCACACAGCAGCCATGAAATTTCTGCACACCCGAGGAAATCTGGATAGTTACAGGAGCCATACCTGACTTGACTTGCTTGTGAGCATCAGTGTAGCTGTGCCTGCTTTACAGTAACCTCTGCATGCTAATGGTGGGCCAGGAGCAAACGCTAACTGGTGTGCAACATGCTCTGGCCACCGCCGTTTGTCTGTGGTTTACAGAAGTCACCTATTTGGCAAAGAGTAGCTGAGTAGCAAGTGAAGATAAAGGCAGTACCTCTGCTTCTGAGCATGGGGGTGAGCCTTGATATTCAGAAGAATTCTCATCAACTTCACTAGGAGCTGATGGTAGTGCTCAATAGTAAGGGATTTCTCTGATGTCCCTTAATTAAAGCATTCTTTTGTCTTGATTAATAGTGAAAATCATAATTAAAGACAATTTTCCTTAAGGGCTTCACTGCTCCAGATTGTACTAGCTTAATAGTTTTGGTTTGTTAAAACCTAATTAAAAATCTTAACAGTATGGTTTTGGTTTGTGACAGATACTGCATTCTGCAACAGAGAGGGTTCCTTTTCATGCAGCAGTTTTACTGGTTTATTTTGAAGTAGGATTAATTGACGTTTTTTTTTTTTGAAATTAAATTACTTGTTACTTAAAATGCTTTAGTCTTATGAATTGGTTGATTTCCTCAGAAGTATCCTAGTAAGTAGAGGTATTACTGCTAAAACATTAGGGAGGGAGGTTGAAAATCCCGACACAGACTGTCTTGGAAAGTCTGCAGCGGTGCTGGAACTAAAATGAGAACTCTTGAGTCTGAAGTTTCAGGTTTGGGTAAAAAGACACGTTTAATCAAATTCTATACAGCTTCAGTCACTGTGGCTTCCCAGCAATTGCTGGTTGAGTCTAAAGCTGTGTATCTCATTGCAGGGATACAATTTCAGTACCTTACTGTATAGTAATGTGTCACATCATTACATCCTTACTGCTGTAGACACGTAGAGCAAGTAAGTAATTGAGATTCTGCTCTACCAGCTTCTAGTTCGGACTTGGCACTGGGATGTTAGCTGGTGATTGCAGCTGCAGTGCATGTTCATAGGGCAAGTCTTTTAGTTTGGGAGTCAGAAATGAGTAACGTTTTTGTTTGTTCTTTTGGCAAATGCTACCTTAGCAAAGCATTACATGTCTTTTTTTGACATGTATGTTGTGATGAGAGTTTGAAGACTCTGCTTACCTGGAGTAAAATGCTAAATTGACTACAAATAGCAACTCTGCATAGGCAGGATGGGGTTTTCTTTCATTTCCGAGATAAGCCAAAGCCTAATACATTTTGAGGAGGTGCACAGATCAATGTGTGCCCAGTAAAAATCAACGAGCTGTCAAGCACTGAACTGCTGAGAAATGAATGTGGTGTGCAGGTTGAAGCTGGCCTGCATATTTGTTGCAGTTGCTCAGGTGAGATCAGGTTCTGCATGACCCTGCTCAGCAAAGACTGCATGGCTTTTGGAAGCATCCGAGTCCACGGGGAGGCTTTCTCAGAGTTAGATGAGTTAATTGGAAAGAGCTTGTGTTTTCCTTTGCACTTGTTTGAAAATAATATAACTCATCACAGATCTTTATTTTTGTTGACTCTCTAGAGATGGCCTTTTAGAACAGCTTGTTGGTGTATGTGGCAGAATATTGAGTCTTGTTTTCAGAAAGTGATAGCCTATGAGTTAGGGCTTGTTTACATGGAATGGAGATGCTGAGTTTTATATATATATGGAAAGAAATGTGTATGCAGTGTGATTTTTTTTTTTTATTATTTATTTTATTTTTTTTTAACTTTCCAGAAAATTTTCAGTGTGCATGGAAGCAGACTCCATGCTCAATTGCGCCTCCAAGGGTTTGCAGCAATCTTAATTTGTTTCTCTGTCCGTTTGTCCAGGCTTGTAACATTTCTCATCTCAGCCAAAAGACTTGCAAAGTTCCTTTTTATGTTTCTGGAGTGGCAAATTGGCATTACCTGTTGCCTAATAGAGTAACTGTTCTTCAGTTTTATACCTTGAACTGCTTAAGAGCTTCCTCAAATAGCGTACATCTTAGTGCTTGCGTTTACTGCTGCCATAGAAAATTTGTATCCCTCATTTGGGGTCATATTACACGCTCTTTGAATTTGAGCCTGGCAGGCTGAGCTTCATGGCTCAATGACTTCTGAATAGCTCCTCGTGTACCTGTTGTAACAGATAAAATGCAGTAACACCGTAGGCTTTTTGCTCCCTAAATGTCAGAGATGACGGTAACACCGAATGAAATTTGCAGTGATTTCTAACGCTTTACCTGATGGACCTCTGTTTCACATGACTCATTTGGTTTTTAATTTGGACCATTATAGGGTGCCTGTGCCCCAGTGTGCTCGATGGGGTTAGGGATGTACTTCACCGTGGATCTCCTGATCCATACCCACCTACTGTGCTTTAGTTCCTGTTGCAGAGCATTTTCAGGGCAAGTGAGTGAATTTCTTTTGGAGGAAATTAAGCTGGAAGATGCTGCCTTGGAGAACACCTAACGTGTCCCAGCTGTTAGTGGGCCTTCAGTGGATGGCAACAGACCAATGCTGGCCCGAAGTCTGAAAAACATGTACTGTGGATACGGGGTCCTCGTTTCACTTTACAGGTGTATTTCTTCTGGAGCATTATTTGCTAGCATAGACTTGGCTGTGGGAGGGCAGGTGTCAGAGTTGCTGGATCTTTGGTGACAGTGAGTTCCCTTCTCTTTTTGTGGAAGGATCAGTATATTTGCCTGCACTCCTAATTTGCTCTTATGATCCTGCTGCCTGCTTGCCATTTGAAAAAATCTCTCAGATCCTCCCTCTATGAATAAGTTTGACCACGGATCAGAGTGCAGTATGCAAGTGGCCACGGGGCCTGTTGACGCACTCAGTGGTAGAGACTGAACTGAGCTATATAATACTGGCTGTTTAAGTTTTGTACTAGACCTTCCTGATATATCTAGCTTTTAACCTGAGATTATACAATATATTTGGTTTATTTTGCTGAGTTGAAAATGGGTATGTTGAAGCAGAAAAAACTCTGAAGAGAAGCAGCCCTTTATTAATGTGTTCAGTTGATGATCGACTGAGAGGTAATCAGTGATACACAACTGGAAGACAAGTCTTTGGTCATCTGCCCATTTACATCAGTCCAGAAATTCCTATAAGCTTTAGGGGGGAAAGCATTGCATACACAGTAACCTGTATATATTACTGTAAAACTCCTTGAAATGAATCCAACCCAAATCATTCTATGATTCTATTAAAGTTGTTGGGAAAAAAAAAAAAAAAAGTAGCATTTCACTACAGTTGGTTTTAATTCATTACATTATATAACTGCAATACAGTTTCCTGTGTCAGATAACTGATATTTGAGACAATGATTGTTTGATTTTAATGAACCTACATCCTTAAGCTCTTTTTCTCTCCTTTGTTTTACAGAAAGTGGACGTTCCTGTGATGCTGAGACACCTGCGGGAGCAGAGAATGTTTATGATCCAGACCATAGCCCAGTATAAGTTTGTCTATCAAGTGCTTATCCAGTTCCTGCAAAACTCCAGACTTATTTAATCTTTTCAAGCATCCCAGACCAAGCTTTGTGGATCTGACTGAACCTTACTGATGAACAAGGGGAACTGCCTTGACAACACTGTGTGCATATATTGCACTTTTTAAAGTTGTCTTGAAAGTAAGGAATGATTGTTCTTTACTAGAGTCTCCCATGGATTATTTTATACAAGATATAATTTATTTTTCTTGGAATAACTTGTGAATTACTTTAATAACTTTTAAAACTTATAGTGACCTTCAAATTGAACCACATTTGACGTGACTGGTCTGCATTGTAACATGTCCATAAGGAAAGCAATCCTTTGTAAAGGTAGTTTTTACTGGCTTTTATTTTGCTACACAGCTTCTGAAACGAACAGTTATTTGGCAGTGGGCTTTTTCTCACATAAGAACATTTTGGGTGTAAATAGATGTCTTCCATGGTAAAATCAAGATCTGCTACATGTCAGCTCCACCTCTGTATGAGTAGAAGCTGAGGGAACACGGTCCTGGAGCAGGAAGACCTGAGCCGCTGCACATGCAGCAGGGCACGTTACAGAGGGCACAACCACAGGACGTTGTGAGGGCAGAGAGTTTTGGGTGCTAAACTGTTCAAATTCCACAAGAATTACGGTTTTAGATTAGTCCTGGAAAAAAAAGCAATATTGGATCTTACAAACAAGGCCTTTGCTACTGTCTGCAATCCTTGAAGGGATTCTTGAGAGTTGTTGAAGCAGTGCAGGGTGGAGTGCAGGGACCCAGAGCAGGCTGAAGTCAGTGAGTGAGTCTTTCCAGTAACTCTGGTGGACTGTGGGTTGAACAGCAGAGGAAATTCAAGTAAATGCAGCTGAAAAAACCCTCAAATCAAGCACCTTCTCATTAATTACATGGAAAGTTTTATTGCCTTGAGCTCACCTCCCGTAGAAATGGAATCTCATTTAAGTTAGGCATCTGCAGTTGCCTTAGTCTCACATGTGAACTATTGTCTTCAGCACGGTAATCCTTTTACTTTCTGCTCATTTGAACTTTGTCAGAATGATCAATATAGTCTTTCCTCCAATCTCTAAACAGTGACCCTTGAACTTTAGCTCAGTCTGTCTTGATTCTTCCCTCATCACTGTCTTGTGTATGAACATACAGAGCAGTCTTCCTTTTGGTAGTTGAGGCAAACCTCACTTTGTTAGGGTGGTTTTTGTATTAAATTGTACAGGTCCTCTCTCTTCTCTCTCTGGTCACTTTGGATTCTCCCCCCTATTTATTATTACTGTTTTATCCTGGTGGTGTTCAGGGATTCCAGTTAGGATTAGGAGGATGTTGTATAAATACATAAAGGAGAAACAGTCCTTGCCTGAAGTTTACAGTCAGAACAGAAAAGGGAAACAAACCTCATTCGCTGCATAGCTAGGGCACAGATTTTTAACTGGCTTGCCCTAGGCCAACAGTGAAATCTGTGACAGGGCTAAGAAAAAAATCCATGTGTCCTCTAAGTACCTCAGCAGATAGACCTGTCCTCCTCTCTCTTCCTCATCCTCTGTCCCTCAGTATCGGCTAGCTGTTTTGTACAACTTACTGCATATCCCTTTTTCCAAACTGTTGATTTCACTGGAGTAAATGGGGTTATGAATTGCCTTGCAGTGTGTGCATGGCAGCATTTCCTTACAGTTGTTTAGAAGTGATAGTAACTGCACTTTTAAAAATTTTTAAAAGGGAAAAAAAGAAAAAGCTTTAGCGAGTTGTTGTGGGACTCCCACGTTGTTATTTCTGGTGTAAGAGAGGGAAAGCTCCTGCACTGAGGTTGCTCCCCTCCTCACACTGCTGAGTCCTCTTCCCACTCTTGCCACCCCCCTGTGGGCAGCCCAGCCCTGCTTTGACTTGGCAGTCCTGCCTGATGGCGAGAGAATGGGTCAGGCTGGAGAGGAGCCCTGGAGGCCCCCGTGCCAGCCCTGCTCACCCCACAGCTTGCTCAGGGTCGCATCCAGTTTCAGAAATCTCCAAGGGTGGAGGTTTCGCAGCCTCTCAGGGCACATGATGCAGTGCAGTTACTCTGTCATGGTGAAATTATCTTTCTTGGCATCCCTTTCCCAGATAAATTTCATCTTTCAGTCTCATCATCGTTTCTTTTCTGTTGCCTCCCCACCTCCGACCCCCTGGCCGATATGCAAAGGCCCAAGCCTACAAGCACTCTCAACTCCAGCGCTAAAGGGACCTACGCACCTACCTTTCCCTAAAATCCCTAAAAACTAAGGCTCTGTACCAGAATGTTTCTTAAATGTATTTAAAACTGTGCTGTGCCGATTTGGTAGTCTGCAATACAGGCCTAACAAGGTGACAAGGATTCTGGTGGAGACTTCTAGTTACCAACAAATCGTGAGGAGCTATTTAGCTGTAATATCTTGACCATGGTCATTTTAGGGATCAGCTGAGTTTTCAGTCAACTTCCGTTTTCCTCTGATTACTTCTGCCAATGCCAACATATCTCCTGTTAAATTAGCAGCAACCATTTAAAGTCTTTTCAGCAGCATCTGCATGATAATTGCAGAGATGCTTTATATCTGGGAAACAAGCCAAGGAATAAACCTTGAAGCAAAGTGTATTAAATTAGTTATCTTGTTATAACTTTTTGAATAATTTCCTAATGATGAATTAAGTTTGAACTCAGATCTGTCAAGTCCCATTGCTCTACTTGGATGTGAGAAGTAGAAAATCAGGAGGGAAAAGAATCTGTTCCTGTGTTGTCTTATTCAGCTGCTCTTGGATGAAACGTATACTTCTGTTTCTGCAGTGAGCACAGGAAAGTTATTGCATAAGAGAATGTAAAGAGCTGTGTTTGAAAGGAAGAAAATTAAGCAAATGTTTTTTATGCAAAGATGCATCATAGGTGTCTTAGAAAAATATTAATTAGAAAATGGCACCAAAAATCTTTTCCAAATTAAGTCAGTGCCTATTAATGAGCCAAATAAGTGGCCACATAGTAAACAGTCATTTCCAATTAACTCCTAACGTGGCTGGTATGGTAGATAGAGGCCAATGTGACTCACTTTTTCCCTTTCATTGTCAAAGAATGGTAATTTTAAACTTTTCCTTTCATCTGACTTCAATGTATTTTTTCCTACTAGATTTTATCTTGACTAGATCTGCTAATATCGTGAATTGGGCTGGTACACGTCTTCAGAGGTTCCTTTCCACCCCAGCTTGCAACCAAACCTCAGCATGCCGATGCTTTATGATTGAAATGCGATACAGTTTTGTAGGGGAAAAACTGAACCTTCTGACTTTGAACCTGTGGTAGTTTTATCAGACCGAAATTGCCTGGGCAGTATTTCCTCACCTTTAGGGAGGGACAGGAAAATGCATTTTGCATCCAATTTTATTAGTCATAGCAGGAACGAACACATGAGACTTAAAGCAAAATACTGTTTACTTTGTCCCACGGACTTTAACAGCAGAGCCCTTAAGTGGAAAAGGAGGACAGTTTGGAGTTGCTGTATGTTGTGTTGCACAGCTTTTTTAACATCAAAGCATGACAGTGGGTAGGTTCTAAGACACCGGTTTCATCCGTTTGGAGTAAAGTCTGGATTGAAAATCTTGAAGATGCATCAACAGTCAGTGAACAGAGCTGCTGACACAAGCAGTCTTGCCCCAAGGCGCCCATGTTGCAGTCTGGCACATTCAGCCTACGCTCCCTGACTCTTTCCAAGAGGGAACGTGGAGGGGATGAGGAAGTCTGACTTGGGAATCCATTGTGTATGTTTTCCTTTTTGTGCCCTCTTCACCTGTATTTTACAACCTTTTTTTTTTTTGTTGTTTTTTGTCTTTAAACTCTTACCGATGATAGTATTGAGGTTGCTGGTGTCGAATTTGTGGTCAAAGTTACGGTCTGAGCATTTCATGCCTAACGCTGCCCGATCAGGGAGGGGAGAGATGACAGCTGAGTTCTGATGCTGCTCAGGGCTGTGCGTGTCCAGCTTCCATCCTCCTCGGGCTGCACTGGAGGATGGGGGGCATGAGCTGCCCAGGTCCTACTTGTTTCAGCTCCTACAGAGGGACCTTAAATGCTCAGCCTTATCAGAAATACCTTTTCCCTAAACTAGCTTCAGCTGTCAGGAAACACATCTGTGAGAACTTATTCAACCTATTGCTAATGCAGTTCTTTATAAAGGACATTTCTGTTCCACTTATTTCAACCAGTTGCCTCAGCTACAAATATTATTAAATATTTGCATGATTTCAAGAGCTTTTTTTTTGTTTGTTTTTAAATTACTTTCTTGTAAGCAGAAATGCAAATGGCAAACCATAGGTTAGGAAAGAATGAGTAAGTCTCAGTGCTTCAAGAGAGATGGTCATTTTAAGCTAATACACTATTTTTTTGATCCAATGCCTGCTCTGTCTGTGTAGCCCACAAGCGACTCTAAAACAAATAGTGATGGGCAATCTCATACTTGGATACAGCACACAAACCTGTGGGGAAAATTCGGCAGCTACTGACTGTGCTGCGTTCTCAACAGCTGACTTCCCGCCGGTTTCCTGGGAGGAGATGATGACTGAATTAGCTGTTGTCAGTCTCACTAACAGTTTGTGAACTGTGTGCTCAAAAAGTGGAAGCATCAGTCTGTCTGACACCTGCTGCAACAGCTCTCATGCATCACAGGGAGGTCAGAGCTAAACTTTGGTGCTTGTCTGTGTGGAAAAGAATGCTTTACAACCAGAGAGCTAGGGTAGCACCCCCTGCATGAAATAAAGGATGCATCATATTGAGGGAGCAAATGCCAGAATTGACCTTGAAAGGGATGCACTCCATGAAAACATCATTTGGCCACCTCTCTACAAACCCGGATATAATATAAATCTGCTGATGTGTTGTTCAAGTCATATGGAGTTTGGAGATGGGTTTTGATGCCAACAAGAGAAAGGTTGCAAGTCCAAAACCCCAAGTGCAATTGCCCCCCAGCTTGTTCTTAACATTCTAGAGAGGGGTTTCCTTGTAGAATCTGGTGCTGTGGGAACTCCAGCTGCCCTCTGAGTCTTCAGAGAGGAGGACATTATACGTGCAGCCCCACGCAGCCTTGGCTTGCAGGGACAGTGACTTGAGGAAGGGAAGAGCTGGCTGCTAGGGCGGCGAGGCAAAGAACAGAAGATGGAGGTCTGAACCATAGATAAACTATTGTTAGAGTGTGAAACAAACATTTAGTGCACAGGTCAAAAATAGCAGTGTGTATTTACTTTAAATATTTATATGCATTTTGTCAGTGCTTTTAGAGGATGTTAGACTACAGTTCTGTTGGTTCCTCTCAGCCTTTTTTTTGGCTGGTGTTTCTTTGAAGTGTTGTTGCTTCTGCTTTATGTGTACCCTCACTGTGAGCTTTCCCCATGCTACAACAGCAGGACTTTGACATTGCAATGTGAACTGGAAGTCAGTAATTAAATAGCAGCTTTCCCTGAGGAATCCCAGCACCGTTTAACAGCAAGGGAAAGACTAATACTTCAGCTGATCCCTGAAATGAATGCAGTGCACTTAATAGTTTTCCAAATCATCTACATAAGGAGTCAGTGCTTCGGATGCTCAGGTCCAGGTGTTTCAGGGGCAGCGTTCCCTGATTAGGCAGGCAGGAATAAAAGAGGAAGGCTTCCCACAAACGACTCCTTACTTAAGGAAGAAACATTAATGCATTTAGAAGAGGGAGAGGGTGCTCAGCCCCTCTAGCCCACCTGGCAACCCATCCTTTAGGGGCTTCCAGAGGCCAAAGTTATATCCTGCTCTCTGTGCTTGGTAACTACCGATGGAGCCACTTCCCATGAATCCCATTATCTTCGCTTTAGAACCCTTTAATCCTCCGGCCTTCACAATGTCCTGTGGTGGTAAGTTCCACAACTTAATTATACATCACATCTACAAGACCTTCCTTTTTGTGTACGTTAAATGAAAGTATATTCTTGCTGCTACTCGGTCTTTAAACAGAAACAAATCTTTAGTGCCAGAAACGCTATTAATAGGGTGTTTCTCCTGTTGAGATTGCTCCATATGGAAAACAGGTTTTGCTCATTCATACCTTTCTTTTGCTATTTTACAAAGGAAAAAAGTTTACACATGCAGATGACTGTAATATTCCCATGTATAATTGTGTGGGACGTGTTAAATGAAATAATATGTTTAAATTTGATGTCACTGGATTTTACTGTCCTGTTTTACTTCAGTATTTTGATGCTTCCTGTTTTATTTGTTCTGTAATTCTGTACACAACAGTTTAGCACAAAACAGTGATCTGAATCTCACACCTTCATTGTACGTACACATTTTGTAGAGAAATGAGACATCAGTTATATGCCCTTCCTGCCCCCACTCCTTCCTCTTAGGGCTAAATGGCAGAACTATTCTATGCTATTGAAAGCCTTTTTTAAAAAACAAACAAACAAACAAACAAACCTATGCATGCTATTTTATATTCTAATGTATTATTCATATCAGTACATAAGCTTATGCTTGTCAGTTTTATCTTGTGTATAGAACTGATTACTTTTGACAGTATTTTTGCACTGTTTCTTTTTCTTCTCTTTTTATAAAGTTCTATTCAGCATTAATTGACTGCAATAATTTTTTACCCCTTTCACTGCCTTTGTGTAAATAGTTTCTTATATGCTTTTGCAAACATGAGAATGTCTTCAGTCACTAAGGTTTTTTGGTAAGGCTGTCCTTCATATTCACAGTATACAATAAAACATTTTTTTTTTTCAAGGAAAACCATGCTTGTGTTTCCTGTACCAGCTTAAGCTTTTGTATTTGCACCTACTGTGCTGGTGTTCGTTTCCCATGGTAGGCCCAGCCAGGGCCACAGTGAGCTTTGAAGAACCTCCTGCAACCAGCAATCCCAGGTTTCACAGGGACAAAGCTCCTACAGGTGCTCAGGCCGGGCTCATCCTGTTCTTTAGTGCTGAAGTAGAGTCTGGACTGACCTTCTGAAATGAAGGTGCCGTTTCCCTCGACAAGGGTTTACCTGACAAGAGAAAGTTAGGATGAAGAGAGTCAGCTGGTGCCCTTGTGCTAGGCTGGGCTGTAGTAAAGTGGCCTTGGCTTTCCAGTATCATAAGATCTGGTGCAGTTTTATGTACTCCAGCAACAATTGCTGGCTAGAGAGCAATGAAAGCTTTCAGCAAAACGAGCTGACAAACCCTTGTTCTGGAGCAGTTTTATTTTCAGAGCAGTGCTTGCTTATGAGAAAAAAAATATGATTAAGTTCTTAATGGTGATGTGTTCTCTCTCATCTCATCATACTTTAAGCTGTAGTTTTACTGTGCAACATATTTCAACTTCAGTGCTGCAAGTACACAGCCACACTCTCCCTCCTCTATCTTTCCCCATCCTTAAAAGCAATCTCCTGCCATTGATCTAAATGGAGAAAAACAAAAACCACTCTGGTCTTATATAGGGGCAGAAAAAGCCCAGCCCTGTTTTTTTTTTTCCTCAGAAAATGTCCTTGTTCCTCCATTAAAAGTAATTGCTAACATATTAACAGAATAGTTTTAATCCACTGGAGGGAAAGGTATGGCTGTAAGGAAATACAAGCTCTCCTCTATAATACATTCACTTTAACTTGTAAAGGGGATCAAAAAGCCAGAAGTTGCACAGTTCATGTCTTGTGCAAGCCTTCAAGCTCTGAGGTAGGTGCCAGCATTCTCTGTACAAGCCCTGGTGAGCTCTAGGTCCTCCCAGTGATGAATCCCCACCTGCCAGGAGCAGCACTGGGCCTGCAGCTTCACTGCCTGAGGGAGCAGCGGTGGGTGGCTCTCCTGCACAGCACACAGAATTCATCACCCCCCTTTCTCTCAGCTAAGCCACTGCAAACAAAAATGATTTGTGAAGAGACGAATTAGATACTAAGTCACAACAGAAAAAGTACAGCTTTTGCTAAATAATTTGTCAGATTAAATGAAACAACTTGGGCAAATGCAGATGCCACAAAACTATTGCACCCATGTACGTGTACAAGTGGAATCAAGAAGGGTCAACACCACTTTATTTACTTTACACAAATAAGATACACATTCAAATGCGTAAAGAAAAAGATGACCATTTTTGCACATGAGCTGTCAAAAGGCATAACCTTGAAGAAACGAGGGATGTTTCCTTAAAAAAAAAAAAAGGCAATTGTAGATGTGTGGAAACTAGGAACATTTTGCAAGGCCTAAGTGTGTTTGTCATTCCAATTATAGGACAGAACTGTGTTCATACTCTACCGCTTTTCAAAGCGCTCCTGAAGGTTTCCATAACAAGGCTTTTTAAATAAAGGTTTGAAGGATTGCATAGTTTCAAAGGCTCAGTGGTCCTCTAATTCCTTTTTGATCTCTGAAATGTATGGATGATCTTTCCCATGTGCTACTTCCATGATAGCAATTGCCTATGAAAAGAAAAAAAATATTCACACAATTGATTCATATATAACACCAGGCTATAAATACTCTCTTTAGAGGTTTGAAACAGTCTGACACCTCTAGCTACTTTTTGTCCCCTTGTAGTCATAAACCCAGTAGGAAATAAAATGAAATTCAAAACTAAGTAATAAAGGTTTTACATTCAGAGACTACGTCTTTCATCTTAAAGGATCCCAAAGCACCTTTCAAAATTATATTCCTGACAAAACTACTTTGAATGCTACCAGCTCCAGGACAGAAAACTGTAAGTGGGGTGGGTAATATTCTGGCAGAGGACTTAGCCAGTATCAAACCGACAGAGTTCTGTTCCTACCAATTTATCCTTCAGCTGTCTGACAAGCAGGCCTGTTGCAGAAGTTACGCTAAGGCGCTTCAGGCTTGATTCTGTGAGCCCTCCGCATTTCCAGGGGCCACCCATGCTTTACAAGGGAAACAACTGAGTAGACAATCACTAAGACAAGAGTGGGGTCTCATCAGATTTGGACAGAAGCTGCTACGCCCAATCCCCTTTTCACCTACAGCCTGCTCTGACCCTAAGAGTGAATGTTTCAGGCAGCCAAACCCACTGACTTGCAGTTTCCTGCCACAATCCCCACTGGACCAGATTCCCACTTGAGAAAAGGACAGCAGTGGCCCCAGACGTACTAAAAGCCAGCAGTAGATTGGATTGGAAGAAGCAAGTTTGGAGTAAGCCTGACAATATTTAAAGACCAGTGTTAAGATAAAGCAAGGAATTGCAGCATCCTAGCCCCCCGAGCAGTCAGTCATTTTTCTCCTCAGGAAACTTTTATGGAATTATGCTCTTATATTTATTAAGACAGTGCAACAGGAGCCTTAGGTTCCACCTCAGCAGCAGTGAGAAATGACTCCGTTTCCCCTCCTGCCCCAAAGAACAGAGGGCCTTCTGGAGGAGCTGCTTGCAAACTGACAGAGAACAATGGTTTTGTTTTTCCACTAAATCCCAAATATCAGGGGCTGGGATAACTTTGGGCAGTTCCTGTAGGCAGTTTTGGGAAGTGAGTCATTAGAAAATGTTTGTGTTAGGAAGCTAACTATGCCAACAAATCTACCTACAGTTCCCAACCCTCCATCCCAGGTTCCTACTGGCAAAAATCCCAGTTTTAGTCAAAGCTTTAACACCACAGCAAAGGAAAACCTGTGCTAACTTTAAACTAGGTAACAGTTAAATTTTAGAGCATATATTCTTGTAGTATCTTTCACCATGGCTGGATGGCTCTGTTATTGCTGGCTAAAAACTTGTCAGCATCTAAAAAGGGGAAAAAAAAAAAAGAAAAAAAAAATAGTGACATTCCACACCAAGCCATTATATGCTACAGTAGTCACTGATGCTTAAGAAACTAAAATATACCTCTGTCCAACAACAATAGGGGAAGAAAGTCAAGAAACGTGGTACAGACTAATAAAAAAAATAGAAGAACAAAAAACTAAAGAATAAGGAACAGACTAATAAAAAGGGGTGAAGAAAAATGTAAAACCAAATGCTGTATTTGCCAATTTCAGCCTTACCAGATGCATTGAATTCCCTTCAGCTATTTAAAAATCAATTGGTTCCAGAACCAATAACTACCAAAAACACGCCTAGTTTAACTTGGATATAGAAATCACAGACTTCAATGAAACACTGTGTGCCTTCTGTAAGAGCAAAGCTTTTTTTCTGTCTTTACTTAGCAAGTGAGGAAAAGCTAGAGTTCTGCTTCATTTACACGAGCACAGCTCTAGCTCTGTGAAGAATGTATAGCAAATGTTTAAGCATAATGTTCACTCCAGCTGCTGCTGGAGTAGAAGTCCACTGTGAAAAGGTAAGAGCCCTTGTATGCGAGAACAGACCTATGCTGCATCTTTGGAAAAATCAAAACTGAGCCAAAAATCCAGTAACCAACTATATTAACACATGGTGCATTTCCTACCGAGCCAGGCTTACTGACAGAGAAGCACATAGTGTTTCAGTGATCCCATGCCTAAACTGGTATTATTAATGAAGAAACCAGGAAATAAATACCCTCTTCAGAGCTTTAGCTGCAGCCATTCTGTTCTCCAGCGCCATATACAGTCTCCCTAATTTCAGCCACATGGAGGCAACGTTCAGCGAGTAGGAAGGATAATGTTTACTGCAAGAGAGAAAGAAATTCAGCTTTATCAGACCTGGCAGTTTCACAGCATTTTCCCAGCCCCCGTCCCCCTCTCAGGGGGCAAGAAGCTGCCTTTCGTTGCCCCTGCCCATTCACTGCCCATCCCCTCTGCCACGACTGCCAAGAGTCAGTGCCAATTGTGTCTGGGATGGGGACGCCTGTCAACTGGGAATTGAACTGAAACCACCATATGCCTCCGAACAGCTGTCAGATGGCAATGACTTTCTGCCACTAGTTTTAATCTAGCCAGCTACAGAAAGAGACTGCATTGTTACAAGTTTTTGGAGCCACCCTACACCCGCAGAAGTAACTCTGCCTATTCCACAATAGTTGGTCTTTAATGGAAAGCGAGGGGCCCTCGGCAGCGCGTACAACACACATGCCGTTCTGTACTTGCACACACGGAGCCAGCGGAGTCCGGTTCAGCAGAGCTGACCTGGAATGCCAGGCTCGGAGCCAGAGGAGCTGGGCAAGTCCCAGAGAAGATAAATAGTACTGAGCCCCCAGGGGGGGAATGTTGGCTCTGTCTTTGTATCGCTGCTCTCTGCCAAGTGATCTGTGACTTTACGTTGGCATCTGCTCCAAAGGGAGAGCTTTACTTGCACTCCCCCGAGCTGGCAAGAAAGTCATGTCTCAAGACAAGAACCTGCTTGGGAGATTCATGGCAGGATCAGATACAGCGCGTAACTGGCTGGCTCTAACGAACGAGAGCACTGCTGGAAAAGCACAGAAAAATTTATCACAGTATTATTTTTTTCCTGCAGAGGCTGTGTGCTGTCTTGCCCCACACAGGGCTTCGGCCTGCACGGTCTCCCACGCCTCCCGCTCTAGGGCAGGGGAGATCAGGGCCATGGGCACCCACGGCCCCCGAGCGCAGGAGCTGAGCTCAGGGGACACAGGGCACCCACGGCCCCCGAGCGCAGGAGCTGAGCTCAGCTCCAGCTCCCTCTGCTGCTCAGCCCCAGCCCGGGGCCAGGGCTCTGCTCTCCTGCCACCATGACCACTGTGCAACTGCAGAGAGAAAGGACTGGGAGAGGGCGGGGGGCTGTCGGCAACACCAGGCTTTGCCTCCATTACCTTACACAAAATATTGACCGCAGATGCATTTCGAAGCTCTGCTTTAGTAAAGGATTAGAATATTCAAAAAAACCCGGCATTTACC